GATAGATATTCGGTAGGAGAGAAGGAGCAAACCACTTCAGTTTTAGTTTTAGTAGAGGTTTTACGGCACTCGCAACTGCATAAGGTCATATAAGCACCAGAAGATTAGAGGTGCTACAAATAAAAAAGTTTTTGGGTTAATAAGTTTTACAGCACTTGCAACACAATTAGGTCATATAAATACAGAAGATTTGAAGTGTTACTAGAGATAAAAGTAGGAAAGATAAGGACAATAGATATTTGGTAGGAAAGAAGGAGCAAACCACATCAGAGCATCCAACCATCCTTACAAATAGACAGATGAGTCACAAACAGTCAAAGTGGATTAATTTGTTGTAGTTTGTTGTAAGATTCAATTCTGTAAGTCCAGGCTAACCCTAGTTGAGTGGGACAGTGAATCTCAGCAGACAGATATAGAAACTCGACAAAAAATAAAAAAATAAAAGGGAGACGCCACTGCCATGAGCACTAGTATTTTAAGTATATAAAACCCTGTAGTTTGCACATAGAGATGCACACTGACACAATAGCAGTCATTTAAAGCGCGGAAAAATCAAGACAAAGAGAAGTTTTTTTTTAAAAGGGCGAAAAAAAAGAAGTAGGATCTGACAGTGGCGCCCTCCAACCAACCACTCACTCGCCACAAACAAGAGAACTGACCCTACCTTAAAGCACATGCTGACCAGCTCCTGGTTCCCGCCTTTGGCCAGGGCTGACCCGACGTAGTTCTGCAGCACCACAAACATGCCCTCAGAAATTTTCTCAATATTTTCTTTGAGAGAAGGAAGTGGGAATTTCAGAATCCACGAAAGACATCTCATAGCCATGGCGCTCGTCTGTGGGAATAAGCAAGAAAATTGTCAGACTCGACAAGTAACACAATATATTTATTATCTGATGTCAAAATGACGTAGCACACACTGAATGCATTTTGCCCCCCCAAAATCATAGACCTTGTGTGTAAATCCAAGCAATGGAAACAAGCATTGTTCCCTCATATTTCAAACACACACATCATTGATTTCAGTTTCAAACCAAGAAGTTGCACCCCATGCCAGTTGGCAAATTAGAGCAAAAAATGAATGCAACTTCAAAGTTTTGAGACAGTAACAATGGCAAACACAAGCAACCTTCTCCCTTTAGTGCATGGAAAATTCAAGACAGAGAGATTCTGCTATTTATTATTACTATTACTATTATAGTGTTGATGGAAAAACACCAGGTATTCAAATCAGGCTCACTTTGACATGGCTAGTGGTCAAGCAGTCTCGGAGAGTGCCCACAAACGGGTCCAACATCTGGAGGTGGGCATACTCCGTTGGCAGCAGGGCAGACTTCTTCAGGCTGGCGTTGAGCAACTGAGCAGAGACGAGAGAGTCGAATAAGAAACAATTTCAGCACAAAACAAAGTTCCAAAAAGATCAAAAGAAAAAAGTAGGAGGGAGAACAAAAAATGAAGAAAGGTAAAGTAATTTTAGACCCCACATTTGGAACTGACTTGACTTAGTATGCAGACCTAGGGGTCACAGTGGGGTCGGTGCTATGTATTTACAAGAACAGGAGACAGAGGGCTGTGATTGTTGATGCATGCAAAGACATAAAGGTTGGGTTGGGGGGTGTTGTTATATTTACATTAACAAAAAGAAGTTCAAGAACATCAACAGAACCAATGATTGGAACATACTTTTCAGTAACTAGACAGACACATGCCACTCTAATAATACCCCAAAATTTTATATAGATAAAAACTTTGTTAGAGTAAAGAGAAGGCCATTGATACAATGATGGTTAACAAGCATAGAGAGAAAAAGCAAGAAAGACGATAATAACAACAACAAAGCAGATAACTTCTAATTAGAAAGTGTTACACGAGAGTAAAAAACACAAACAAGGAGGAAAAGAGATCAGGATGATAGATGTTGGATAGGAAAGAAGGAGCAAATCACACCAAAGAACCTGCCAACCACCTGCAAAAGAGTAAATAATTATGACAGAGACTCTTCTGGAATATCCACATTACCTGCAGTCCAAACTCAACCACTAAGTGAGCGTTTGTCTTTTTACTAGCTTGTGGCTTGAAGCCTGACCTCGGTGCTGCTTCCTTCAGGAGCAGACAACTCTCAGGCATCCTTGCACCAGGGACGTCTTTGACTGGTTTCTCTTCTTTTGACCTGAAATTAAACAGGGAGCAACTTTCGGGGTGAGAAATATGACGGAGATTAGAGACTACAGTACCATGTAGCATCACATGTTTTTGGTAACATGTACTGCCATGAGGCTACACCACTATACTTATAGTACCACATGGTTACAGTAACGCAAACTGCCGTGAAGCTATGGCACCATGCTTATAGAACCACACAGCTATGGTACCATGCCATATAGTACCATGAGGCTGCAGCATTAAATAATATCATTAGGCTACCAAACAATCTAGTACCATGGGGCTTCTACACCGTTCATGAGGCTATAGAAATGCAAAGCTAATACACCATAACCTTTCTTGTGCTGTACATTTTAAAAAGTTTTAGTAAGAGTTTTACAGCACTTGCAACACAATAAGGTCATATAAATGCTGAAGATTAGAGGTGTTACAAGAGAGTAACAAAGACAAAAAAGAAGGAGGGAGATAAAGACCATAGATAGTAAAGAAGAAGCAAACCACACCAGAGTTCTCGCCAACCACCCACTGCTAAACTTTAATGAAGCTAAAAAATATACAAAAAAATATGAGGCAGCCTGAATTATCTCGTTTATCCTACGGTGACCTTACCAATTAACTACACCCCCGCCCCCTACCCCCAGCTTTTCTAAAAACCTAAAAGGAGGACAAAAATGGACAAAAACATTCACACAAAAGCCAGAAAGAAAGCTTAGAAAAGTATTTTTTAAAAATCCCAAACAACCCAGTGGGTTCTGGCAAAATTTCTGTTACAAAAATGGAAAAAGATGCAGACATCAGACACCAAAAACACTTTAGACTTTCTTCCTCTTCAAATGCCAGATCTGATACGAGACATCAACAGTCATGGTTTGCCACTCATTTCTCTCCTCGGATGCTCTCTTAAAAAGTCTATCATGTTGGTCTTCTTCCATCGCCGAACTGTTCAAGCAAGTTATACAAGGTCTACCTCTGCATTTTTCCAGTAACAGAAAGATGTTCAAGGCCTTTAAGTCATTTCAAGTGTCTTAGGAACCACAACTGTCTCTTCCTAATTGTTTTTAATAGTCCGTCCCATGTAAGCAGGCAAGAGACAAGGCAAAATGCGAACCCTGTGACCCTGTCTAAAAACACACAGGTAAGTCTCACCATCAAGCACATTAACACTTTCAATAACCCTATCAATAGACAAAAATCCAAGGCCAGACGATCAACCACTCGGCCATGTCCACTCACGTAGCGATCTGGTCCATCAGTTTGGTGGTCAGGCTGTGCACAAACACCATCATGGTCTCCACAGGGATGGACGTGTTGGCCATCAGTCCGTCAGCGACCTTCCTTAGCAACATCTCCGCCTTATTGGCTATTCGCTGACTGCTGGTCGTCTCCAGCATCTGGGGTCACGAGGAAAGCAGAGGTCAATAAAATGTACACATCTTGTAAGTGAAAAGCTATAATAGTGTAACTTGTTTCACAAACATTCTTTTCAACAGGGCAAAACAACTCTTTTTTTTTTTTTTTCTAGTAGAGATTTTACGGCGTTCGCAACTGCATAAGGTCATATGAGCGCCAGAAGATAAGAGGTGTTACAACAGAGTAACAAACATAAAAAAGAAGGAGGGGGAGATAAGGACGATAGATGTTTGATAGGAAAGAAGGAGCAAACCACACCAGAGCACCCGCCAACCACCCGCAAAACAACTCTTCATATTTAAACGATAAGTGTACACACAAAGTAAGCCTATAGCACTTTTATACACCTGATTTTCATTGAGATCCTACTGATAAATCTCTGCAAGGTTGTTTTTTTTAACATAAAATGAGTTGACCTATTTCTTCCAGTTACATGCTTAGAGCATCTGTTTGAGAGTTTGATTGGCTGAAAATTACATGAAATACCCCTTTCAACACTACTGAGTCATTTAAGAGGTTCAAAGGTAACAATCAAATCACAGATAAAAAATTCTCCCATCATTTTTACTTCTACCCTGCATTTTTTTAAACTTTAAAATGTTGTTTTACAGTTATGCCATGAAGCCCCGAATATTAAAAATTGTGACTGCAACTCTCCCCCCCCCCCCCAATAATTGTATCAAAATTTGTCAGCCCAGAAAGGCCCCCTCTTCTTACCTCTTTCACTGGTTTAATCACCAGGTTCAGGCTACTGGCAGAAATGAACTTGGCCAGAAGCTCATATGCCTCATAGGCCTTGACAAACTTGGCCTCAAAATATTTGGCCTTGATGGCGGCCACCTCTTTCTCCTCGGCCACCTGGCCAAACAGCTCGTTGTGGAATACAGACTGGACTCTGGCCACGGCAGGGTCAAGGTCTCCGGGCGAGAAGATGCTCTGCAGGCCATTCATCAGGTAGTGGACTGTGAACCCCAGCACGTGGAGCTGAAAGAGAAAAGGGCACACAATTGATATTTTTTAGTTTTAGTAAGAGTTTTACGGCACTTGAAACACAATCAGATCACACAAGTGTCGAAGATTAGTGGTGTTACAAGAGTGCAACATACAAACAAAAGCAGAAGAAGAGATAAGGATGATAGATGTCTGATAGGAAAGAAGGAGCAAACCACCCACTTTTGCTGTTTTAGTATTGTTTCTTGGAAAAAGTTGTGAAATGGTACTGAGTTTTTCTAGGACAAAGTAGGAATGAAATGGTACTGCTAATAGGCAATACTAGAGCTACATTTTTATTATTGTCCTCCAGAGAGCTGACGCAAGAACATTTTACAAACGTACAGAAAGAAACAAATAAATCCAAATAGCCCTAAAAGAATCCTGCACGGGATATTCAGTAACAACGAACAATTAATAGATAGTTTTTCGTTTTAGTAAGAGTTTTACGGCACATGCAACTGCATAAGGTCATATGAGTGCCAGAAGATTAGAGGTGTTACAAGAGAGTAATAAACATAAAAAAGAAGAAGGGGAGATAAGGACGATAGATGTTTGATAAGAAAGAAGAAGCAAACCACACCAGAGCACCCGCCAACCACCCAATTAATAACAATAGAAGCAGCTCTTATGACATTTGGATTGACATAAATATTTTGAAAATCATGCTCTCACGAGAAATATAGACAGCAAAAGAGGCAGAGGACCAAGATAAACTGCTAGGTGGAGAAGACCACCCAGAACAGAGACAGATGGAGAACCGAGAACCCTTATTGGCCATCTAGAACCAATACCAGGGTGAAACAGGTGAATGATGATGATGATGATGTATGAATGTATGGATAAAGCACACCTCCAATAAGACTGAGCCCATGTGGTGGACAGCCTTGAAAACCCTCAAACAACTGTGTTTTATGGCGCTCGCAACTGCATAAGGTCATATGAGCGCACGGGACACACCTACCATTTTCAGTTGGTAAGAAATTTTTAATTCTGCCCGGTTGGCGGCTGAGGCCTACTCTTATCGATTTTAGACCACCAAGAGATCTTTAATGTGCGCAACTTGCACACGGGACCTCAAAGATTTTTCGCCCCTGTCTGCGAAGGCTAGGCATAGATCTTTCCTACCAGAAGATCAGGGGTGTGGCTAAAAGACAGCAGTAAGAAGAATCCAAGGGGTAGCAGTAGAAAGGCTGCAGAAAGAGTCATGAGCCCAGAGGAGGGGGCACGGGAGATGAGGGGGTGGGGGCAGAAAGAGGAGATGAAAGCAGACGACAGAACATTACTAGAGAACAGGAAAGGAGGAGAAGGGAGACAATTTTAGAGAACATTTTTTTTTCGGTCGCTACCCGTATCAAAACCCGGGACCTTTGAATGAGAAGCGAACACCTTAACCTGTAGGCCACAACAGCCCCCAATCGAATCCGGGCCATCAATACCAAAGCACTGCAAAACACAAATTGAACCTATGCCGTACCTGCTCATGAGAAAAAAGACTGACATGCAACAACACAGAGAGGGACAATTGCCCTCACTTAACAGGGTTCCTGCCATGAACTTCCCATCAAATTCAAGGAGTTTTCAAGGAGGTTTCAAGGAGAAATTTTTAAAATTCAAGGAGATTTGGTCAAGAAATTCATGACGAAAACCTATTTTAAAAAAATAACACTTGTCCGAAAGGAATCATATCATATTCATAGTTTCGATTTTCCTAGAAAAACTGTTCCCAGGGTGACTGCCAACCCGGCTTCTCGGGGGGGGGGGGGGGGGGGGGGGTGTGTCTCATCCATTCTCCAGGGGCATGTTACATAACAACGACAGTGCATGCTCCATTTATATATTATATATAATATATACACACACACGCATGTAGGTACATTGAATCCAGTCAACAACATGTCAGTGTGGCACTGGGATACTGTGACTTAGGCTTTTCAGTCTGTTTTAACTTATTCATATTTTCCCCTCATCATATTCGCTTATAACATATAAACTATATAAAAATGAATCTAGCTTTGAGCCTGAGAAAAGGCCTAGAACCACAATATCCACTGTCAAGAACCAGTTGGGGTGTCAAGGTTTATATAATAAACGTGAAAGACAAAAAATATTACTCTAGCTCAAAGTAGAGTAATAACATGAATGGCTCAAGTAGACGTATTCAGAGCGAGAGGTGTAAGAACTGTCGGAGGGCAAGATGCAGTGACACTGAAAATCTGCGAATCTTGAACAGAAAACTAAAATATACAATACATATAATTTACTATCACCTACGCAATGAAACGGGAACCCTTTAGAGAAAAAAAACACGGCTTAGACGGTTTGAGTATGATGGATCCCGATTCCACACAAGGACTGTGCACCAACGCGCCCTTTGCAGAGAGAGATCTAAGAGATCTACCAACTTCCAAGTTCAGTTTTGTTGTCATCCGGTGTTGCCTTCAACCTCCAGCCCCCCCCCCCCCTCGCGTGTCTTAAAAAAAATCAATAATCCTCCCATTCCCGAGTCCTATACTTCGCAGCGCTCAAACTTTGCATGAACTTTGGTGACCTCAACCACCGCCGATACTCACGATGTGACGAAAATGCACAGGTTCAATGACCGGTCACGATGGCGAGCCCGACAAGAAGCTTGTATAACTTTCTTTTTCTTTTGTTTTTTCACACAAGTGACAGCACAGGACAAACGATTTATTTTCATGGCGACACAGCGTATGTAATGCAGAGCCTGCATGTTACAAATGTGGCGCTATCAGACTACTATAGGCCCTACCGGCAAATTTCTGGGTGGTAGGCCTAACGAAAGCGAAAGTAGATCTTTATTTTCCCGATCGAGCTCCGGTATCGCACATACTTCCACTTGTTGCCGCCATTACCGCATGTGCGCGTGTAACGTACTCTTAGGCCGGGAAAGGCCGAATAAATATTATCACAATCGCGACCGGCAAAAATGAACTCAAGGACGTTATCGGATTTGGTTTTCAAATATTCGAGACCTTTTATGTATTTCCGCGGGTCTTTCACGGAGCAATTTACAGATTTCTTAAAATTCCCGTTGCATTCCGGAACTCGGCGATTTTTTTCAAATTCCTGGGTAATTCCAGGGGGCCCCGGGAGCCTGGCAGTCACCCTGTACATGTGTTCCTGTCCGATCTGGCAAAATTCAAGGAGTTTTCAAGGAGATTTTTCCTTGAATGCAAATTCAAGCAGTTTTCAAGGACTCCTTGAATTCAAGGAGGCCGCGGGAACCCTGACTTAAGTATACTATTCCATTCAGTAAAATAAACTATTCCATGATGAAATCAGGAATCGTCCAGACTTATACAGACCTGATAGCCTCTAGTGAGAGCTGCCTGCAACTCTTTCACAATGAAAGGGAAAAATCTGGCACCTAGGGACAGGGCTGCTTTTTGGAGTGTTTCCCTCGCTGATGTCCGCACATCTCGAGATCTTGATTTCAGGAAATTGCAAATTTTCAGCAGAATTCTGTGGGGTTGAGAATGGAACAGAACCTTATTTTCCTGTAGCAATGCAGGCACAGTTAAAAACATGAACCCATAAATACGTTAAGGGAAAAAACAGCAGACCACATATTTTTTGGTGTTTTTATTTCAATATAGACCCTAAAAAGGTTTCTTGACATATGTTTAACATAATGTAACAATAACAAAGAAGAAAAATTCCAGAGCAATTCTCTGAAAGGGCAAAACATTTAAAGTGCAATAATGTCATACTTCATTTTTTAAATACAGTATGAAATAAACATTCTAGACCTATTTTTGCCCAAATATTAAAGCTATAGCATAAAAAATATTTTCCTATCAAATCTTGTCAAAGAAAGGACAACCATAATTCAAACCATAAAATGCAGGCCAAAAGAACAATATTATAGGACTACAAATAAAACCACCGAGAACAGAATCATCAAGTGAGGCAAAAAATACGTAGAAGGCAAAAACACCTGGAACTGAACCCTTACCCTGGCAGTCTGTTCTCCAGTGTCCCTTTAGGCAAGTTCTGCAACAACTTGATCATGGCAAGGGCGATGGGCACTCGGAGAATTTCCTCATCCTCGGGGTATTTAGTCCCTGCCAATTTGTGCACCTCCTCTCCTTTGGTCTGAGCAAAACAGAAGAAAAAAGAATTAAATATAATCACAATGAAATCCTACTTTTGTTCTTCTGGCAGTTAAATTTGGTTTGTTTGCAATATCCTGAGAGACAACGGTATGTTATTCGAGAACGCTTGAAGAGGAATAATTTTGAGTATTTCTTTTAAATTACAAATTTGCTATTTGTAAAGATTTTTCAATCCTGCTTTCTAAATCGAAACCCAAAAACGCAAGCTATAACATACATGAAATGGGCATTTGCCATCTCTGATTTGTGTATGATACTTTAAAATTTGCCACAAAATGGAACAACTTATTTTAGATTGTGACCAATTAAAAATAAGACAGACATATATGTGCGCTGTGACTTCAACGAGTAAGAGGCAGAAACAGACAGAAAATAACAATTTGAGAATTTCAAGACAAGGGTGACCAGGATAATATACATTTAAAAAATATTTTAACACAGAAAAGACAAGCAAACCATGATTGTAGACATTCTTATTAAAATCAGCCACTTGAAAAAAGATTTAAAGTGTGAAACACTCCCCTCCTCAATTCACTAACCTTTTGCGTGATGACACGGTGCAGTGCCGGCAAAAGTGAGGTGACGATTGTCTTGTGGATCCTGGTGGCAGCCGACACAGAGCATACCACTCTCCCATCGCTGGACTCCGACCCCACATCCTCTTTCACAGCCTGGTCAGTGGACATGTTCAACTCCTCCGTGCCTGTGTCCATCACCTCCATGGGAGGGAGAGTGTCGTCATCCTCCATTGATGCATCCTCCGCCTTTTCCTCGCCCACAGTTTCAGCTGTCTCTGCGTCCTTTGTGCCAAGAGAGGAACCCAAGTCCTCTTTCTTTTCACCTGCTGTGACAAAGGAAACACAATAATAAAAAATGACAAATCGCATTTGTGTAGCGTATTCCCCCTTGATTGCAAGCTCTTTGAGCTAAACACAACAAACATATTGGCTGCAAACATTCTATGTCTACATTAAAAATATATAGCCAATATATAGCCAGCATACAACGCACAGGCTTCCCACAGACTAATCACAATGAAATAATTTAACAATATTTTGATTAATAATTAATATTGGATTTATATAACTTGAAGCCAACATGACCCATTTGCTTCTCAAAGAGACTTATTACAGGGAAATAATTCAATAGTAACATTAATAACAATATTATTATTAATAATAATACATCCCCACTTGAGGACAGGGTCTCTACACTTTGAAATTTATTTTATAAAGTCCACAGTCAATACAACTTCAAGATCTTTTTTATCGGCAATTTGCCTCGGCTACTGAGATTTGTTCTTTCTGTGCCAAGCTATGAATCTAATGCCCATCTCCCATAAAATAATGGACCCGTTTTTTTTTCTTCTATGCATTGACCTAACCTCTGTGTACACATTTTTTTGTGACACCATCTTTATGTACTTTATTCTTTTTCTCTTCATTTTAATATACAATAAGTCTACTTTATTTGATAAAACAAGAATGATAACTCGCTCGTCCCACTACCACCTTCAACCTGTCACTTACAGCACACAGGTCTGGCACAATTGTGAACACCCTTCTGGCCTGGAAAGATTTAATTCATTCTGGCTTAAACAACACAGTGAACATTAACTGTGACTATCCCATTTGCCCAAACAACACAGCAGGCTTCGATTTGTTAAGATTTTATAATCCAGTTTGCACATTGCCCAGTACACGTCTTTAAAGCCATAAAGTTTTTCCAGATCAAAGGTGAGCTACTGCAATATTTTCATCTGCTGTTTCTCAGCTTTTTATGTGCGATTTTTCCATACCACTTCTGCCATTTTGTCGAAAGCAAATCAACCTGGGTGAAGTCTGTCAAACACACGGGCCTGAAAGAGTTACGACAGCGGGGCTTTACATCAACTCACCAGCATCCGGCTCGTCAGAATTGTTCTGTTTCACTCTGGGACTGAGATGGACCTTGAACGTTGACTTGTTCAGGTCAAAGTGGAAACCATCTAGTAGGGCAACGATGATCCTGACAGGAGAGAGAATGAATGGCGCACAGTCAAAACAGGAGGACCATCATGAACTTTTTCATTGTGACTGCTTGTTTAATCATTTTCCTGATGAAGCTCCAGCTCTAGAGTAGGAATGTTGAACAATTTTGTAAATTCACAATACCCCTTGTTTCCTTATTAAGCTCCAGCTCTAGAAGTAGGAATGTTGAACAATTTTGTAAATTCGCAATATAATACCCCTAGTTTCCTTATTTTTCCAAGTATGACAAAAATCAGTCGAGGTGGGGGGAGAGGGGGCTAGTAAGAGGCTAGCTTAAAGGATAGACAGTGCTTGCTTCACATGCCAAACCCCTCAGTTTGATGCTGGATTGTGCAGCCATGAGCAATATCTATGGACAACTTGAGGTGATGCTCATGAGATTCACAAGATCTGATGCTGGGGTGAATAAAATCATCTTCTCCTCTTCTATATGGCCCAAAAGCCTCCCCCCGAAAACCAAACTGAATATCCTGCACAAATGTTGCACATATTAACTCTCTACCCATTGAATTTTTTTCAAACTGAATCAAATTTCCAGTCCGTGAAAAACATTCACAGTAGGGACAGAAAAATACCAATAACTTCAAACAGAATTGAATAAAAATCTTTGATTTTGGCACCAGGGGAAAGAAAATGACAGGACAGTTACAAAATGAACAAAACAAATACCTTTACAGAAGAAATAGGTTGTGGACAGTCAAAGAAAGAAAGATTTCACAAAAAGATAAAAATGTACAGAGAAAATCGCTCACCTAACAATCTGTCGCTGAGTCTCCAGTCGCTTCGGCAGCAGTCGTAGGTAAAACTGCAGCAGCCGCTGGTAGTGTTGCCACGGCAACTGCTTGCATATAGCCCCCAGCAGGTCGACAGCCGCATCCTGCACGCTGGCGTGCTTGGCGTACGAAGGGTCCGTGATGAAGGCATAGACCAGGGGGATGAAGTAGGTCATGTGGATGTCTGGGTTCATGCGGTGGTCCTTCAGATGTTTGTACAGACGGCGGAGGGCCCGAGACCTCTTGTGGATCTGTCAGATTTGTTAGAGCATACGTTTTAAGTCGCTACCAATACAATTTGGACATATGAGACCCACACACAAATAGCGTTTTCTAGCATTGACCTGTCTCAGTAATGATTAAAATGATGGAACAGACATTAATAGCAATCATCAAATATGTTTTAAATTATCTAATATATTGACAATTCTAAAAGTGTGATACATTTTTTGCAAATATAACTCGTTTTTCATCCGACTAAGCTCCTTGCCTTCATGAAGGCAACTATTTTAAAAATGAATAACATCTAAACTGACTTTCAAGTTGATGCACTTTGATAATTAAAAACACGTTTCTTTGAATTTGAGACCTACACATTTAATGCCATTTCATAACACTATAAAACAAATATGTTCTTGAAGCATGGAATTCTTGACCATTTAAAACCAAACATATCACACAAGAAAAACAAGGGTCTGGACTGTATTTACTTCACACGTCTTGAGTTCCATAAACTAATGGCAAAGTTACAATACTATAGCAGAGATGCCAACCACAGAAAACCGAAATGAGTATTGGGAAATATGAAAATGTGTATTTTCAGGGGAAAATCTGTATTCCCCACGACCGACCGACCGACTAGTAATAGTAAAATGTTTAAGGGGTTCAGCAATATTTCCTGAAAAAAAATTACTAGCTCACCAGCTCGAAAAAGGGAGCACACACGCGTACAATATCCAGTCAACAACATGTCAGTGTTCAGTGTCGTACTGGGGTCTTGTTTGACTTAAATATTTCAGTCTATTATACCGCTAATATTTTCCTCTCATTATTATGTAAAAAATAAATCCTGCTTTGAGAGTTGGGAAGAGCCTAGAACAAAAATTTCGACAACCAAGAACCAGTCTGGGTGTCATGATTCATATTATGAACTGACAGACTCAAATTATTGCTCAAACTCAGAGAAAAGCGATAACTTGAATGACTCAAGTAGACCCATGCACTGTGAGAGTTGTAATAACTGTGGTAGGGCAAGATGTAGTGACACTGAAAATCAACCAGTCTTGAACAGAAAGCCACAACATACACTGTAGGCTAGGTATAATTTACTATCACCCATCCAATGAAACGCGAACACATTATTTCAATAACACAGACTTGCAAAGTATGAGGGGTCCCGATTCGGCACACGGCCTGCACCAACGCGCGTTTTGCAGAAGGCTCTAATCAAAATTTTGAAATGTGCTCCCAAGTTTTTGTCCTCTGGTGTTGCCTTCACACCCTCCCCCATTATATCTTAAACCCCTAAAAAATCAATAATCTCCTCTCCTATTCCGTAGTCCTATACTTCGCAAGGCCGTTACTCCCACCAAAGACGGTCTTTGCTCACACGATGCCGCATTTATTTATGACACGAATGCGCGCAGGTTCAGTGACCGGTCACGATGGCGAGCCAGACAAATCTAAAAATCGGACTACGCTTGTATTTTCCTTTCTTTTTTTTCCACAAGTGACAGCACAGAGGTGAGTCCGAGCATTGATTAAATTTTATTTGCACGGCGACCTTGCGTTTATACTGCACAACCTGCATGTCACAAAAGTTGTGTTATCAGACAACTGCTGGCAAACTACTCAATGGTAACGAAAGCGAAAGTAGACCTTGATTTTCCCGATCGAGCCTCGATGTCACATACGCTTCCGCCTGCCGCCATATAGCTGCCTATTCGCGTGAAAGTGAAACGTACTCTCCGGACCGGGAGAAGCTGAACGAATATAATATCACGATCGCGACCGGCAAAAATAAACTTGCTAACCACATCGGACTTGGTTTTCAAATATTCCTGTTCTGCGATACTGATACTATTTTGACAAAAGATGGGACTTGAGACAGGTTTACTCAATCTCGTATTTTTCACATTCCAGGATGCGTATTTTTTCATGAAAAGTCGTATTCGCGTATTTTCTGCAAAAAATCGTACTAAATTACGTAAAATCGTACTGGTTGGCATCTCTGCTATAGCAATAGGTTTCTTACTTGTATGTGTCTGATATTCCAAAGAAATCCACTAAAGCACTTTGTATCTTACTTGCATGTGTCTGACATTTTCAAAGACATCTACTATATTACTAGGTATCTTACTTGTATGTGTCTGATGTTCTCAAAGAAATCTGCCTCAGGGTCCTTGTCCGACAGGAGGGAGAGGCCAGCAAACAGCTGATGGGCCGGGTAGTGCTTGACCAGGCTCTGGAGGACTGTCAGGTACTCGTGACGGACAGCCTGATCACGGAGAGGGGGTGGGGGTGGGGGGAACAGACATTAAATAAATATTTGGTTCCCGTTTTACGTGTTATTTGGTTTGAGTTTAGGCCACAGGAGGAGGCAGTTGGGGAGAAAAGAAAGAAAGACATGGAATGAATACCTGGCTTTATCTCCTTTTTTGGGGGGCGTAAATGTTTTATGGCGCTCGCAGCTGCATAAGGTCATATGCGTGCGCGAGACACATTAAACATTTTCAGTTGGTAGGAAATTTTGAATTTTAGCCCAGGTGGCGGCCGAAGCCTCATCTTATTGATTTTGAACCACCAAGGGATCTTTAACGTGCGCAACTTGCACACTGGACCTCCAAAATTTTTCACTCTTATCCGAGAAGGCAAGGTGTAAGATCTTACTTACCATAATATCAGGCATGTGGCTCAAAAACAGCGGTAAGAAAGAGACAAGGAGTAGCAGTAGAAAGTAGAGCTGTACCTCGGTAGCAAACCCGCTCGTGCTCGCAAGCCCCTAGTTCAAGTCACAAGCATCAAATCACCAGCATGATAAGTTGAGTCGAGTCTCAGCTTCAAGTCCACCACAACTAGCATTCCGCGAAGCCACTTGTGTCAGACCCCCCCCCCATCCTCCCACCCTGCTTGCAATTCGCGAAGTCACTTAAGTTAGAAAGAGAGAGAGGGGGGAGAGAGAGACCCCGCTCAGTGTCACTGCGTGGCGGGACACTAGAGCTGGAGTCTGCTCGATTAAACGAAGGCTTGCGAGCAGCGGACGGCCATCAAGTCTCAAATCCCGCCTGCAGCACAGCAAGACACTTGAGTCCTATGATTTGATTTGCCTGCTCACAACCTGGCAAGACTGTCTGCGAGTCACAACACTCCGGAAGTTCCCCCCGGTAGCGAGCGGGAGGCAAAGCAAAGCACAAGCCTGCTCCCAAGCCTCTGGTGCAAGCCGTCTGCTGCTTGCAAGCCTTTGATTAATCGAGCAGACTCCAGCTCTAGAAGAAAGGTTGCAGAAAGTCAGGGGCCCAGAGGAGGCAAAGGAGGTGAGGGGGTGGGGGCAGAAAGTGAAGACGACAGAACATTGTTAGAGAGCAGGAAAGGAAGTGAAAGAAGAAAATTTAAGCGAGGAAAATTTTCCTGTCGCAATCCGGATTTGAACCCAAGACCTATTGAATGAGAGGCGAACACTGTAATCCCTTGACCATCACAACCCCTGGCTTTGGTTTGAAAACTTTTTTGTTTTTGTAAGAGTTTTAAGGCACTTCAACACAATTAGATCATGTAAATGCCGAAGATTAAAGGTGTAACAAGAGAGTAACAAGCAAAGAAGAGGACAGATAAGGAAAGGATGAGAAGAAAGACATGGAGTAAATAATTAGTTTTGGTTTGGTTCAAGTAAAATGCAAGACTAGACCCAACAAAACTGCTGAGAAGAGGAGAAGATGATGCATCAATCTAAACTACATCATTTAAGAGGAGGGTGGGCTGTTTCTACCCAGCCCGTAAGGGTTAGTCTGGGGCCGAGAGGGATACAGTATCTAAGTAGGTACTTGACCAAATGAGCTTCGCTAAGCAGGAATCGAACTCACATCTTCTGCATGCAATGGTGAAGAGCCTAACTATTATGCCACAGATACTGGGTTAAGCTGATGAAAGTTAAAAGAAATCAAAGAACTAGATAATATAAAAGAAAACACTATCAAAAGACACAGGTATTCTATGTCTTGACACAGCCACAGAAACAGCCATACCATCAACAATTCTAGAGTAAAACTAGTGTGCAACCCTTCAAAATGTTTGTTTAGTTTAAATATGGAAATGGACATAATAATGGCTATTTGGTGCTGGGAAAAAGTAAGACAGACATACAGAAACAACAGATGGAGAGTTAATAGGTAGGACCAACCAGAGGCGCCCTCCGACCACCTGCCAAAATGTTTGGAAATGGAGAGGTTACCTGAATATTGCTGGGCTGGAACTATGAGAAACATGTACAGAAAAGGTGACAAATTAAGAAAAACAGAACAGAAAATTGTGAGAGCACAAATCAGGAAAGAGTAACTGGGGAAACATAAGTAACACTGGATGATAACCTCAAAACTAAACAGACTCATAATCTCAAAACTTAAGTGACTCTTTCTCACAAGCCTATTGTAAATCAGAACCTCAAAACTAAACTTAAAGTGGACTAGAAATCTCAAAACTGAAGAAATTTGATCAAAACCTCACCTCTGACTTGCTCCGTATCCCAAGCTTCACCTGCCCCACCAAACACTTTTCTATAACTACGTTAAAGGCCTTGTTGTCTTTTGACGGACAGCTGGCCAATCGTTCAACGATGCTGGTCAGACAGTGGGTGGAGTTGTCTCGAATTGACAGGTCGTCAACCTGTAAAGAAATTAGCCAGAGAGGCAAAGGGAAACAACGTTTATTATGAGATTGGTAAAACTTTCTATAAGCTATGAGGCATTAGAATGAAAGTAAAAATCCTGGGCCTTGCTAGATGGAGAACATCAGGAAAAAACTAGAAGTGTGAGAGACTTTTTGGGATGGGAAGAGGGGGATTTTAACCACTGTAAAAAGAGGCGTCTGAGCCAACACATTAGTGTGTTCGTTTCACAGCACTATAAATACAGTAACAAACTCACAATATGGATGAAGTTACAACAGCCGTAACACACAGTATACGTTAGTGTGGTTGTTGTACGGCAATATTGACACAGTAACAAACTTACAGCGTGGATGAAGTAACAAGATTGGTAAAACTTTCCGGACACTAATAGGTTAGAACCAACTGAGAATGCATCTGCATGTTCAAGGGTCTACTGGGGTAATTATAGCTGTAAAGTGCAGAGAGCATAATGCCCAGCGTCGATATGAGCTGTATACATGCAATTATTATCATTTAAACAACAGTTGTAACACAGTTTACATTAGAGTGGCTGTTTAACAGCGCTATCATTACAGTAACAAACTCACAGCGTGGATAAAGTAACAACAATTGTAGACAACGGGCAGCAGGACGTTCACATCGGGCTCCGCCTGCCCTGAGACAAGCGAGTTGATATTGTGGAACGCCTCCAGGCGGGCGGTGAAGTCAGGCTCTTCCGCCTTCCGCTTGTCCCAAGAGTTCATCTGAATGGAAGGAGGGAGGAAAAAGAAAAACCCAGCACAGATAAGGACAACAGCAAAGAAGAGAAAATAGTTCATGGTAAGGACAACAGCAAAGAAGAGAAATTAGTTCATGGTAATTACTGTCTGGTCTCTATCGTATTAGTATTGTGTGTGCAACAATTTATTTGAAGACAAAACACAAATATCATATATGAGGCTGTTCTTAATGCCCTTAAGGGGAGACGTACACTCCCGGAAAATTTTTATAAACGAATGACTTTTATTCACTTTCATTTAATTGTGCAAGAAGTTCATTGGTAAATAGGATGTACTAGGGGTGAATTTGTTGAATTTTTCTGAAAAATGAGTCTCTGTGGCCGCCAGCTTGGATTTTCCAACCAGTTTCTTAGTGCAGAAGAATTTCATAGTAAATATTGAATTATCAGCCTGAAAGTTGGCACACAGGGACAAACCTATATGAACTGGGGATCTATGTGGGGACTTTGACCTATCTTTAAAACTAAAAAAGTGAGCCCAAATTCATTGGACCCACTTGAGTCATTGACGAAATTTTGGGCTACATGTTACAAAAAATTTGAATATTTTCACAAGTTACCAATATTTCTCATTTCCCTTAAATAGATCCCCAGATTACATCTTAAAGCAAATGTACGCCAAATTTGAAGCTTCTAACTTCAGTAGTTTTTGTAAACTCCTTGCACCAAGGAGGTCACATGTCAGAAAGAAGATTTAGAGAAAAACAACAAAAAAACCCCAGGGATTTTAAAAAAGATTTTTAGAGCAATTCGCACTTTTCAAATGCCCTTTTAGATCATTTAGGGTGTTTTTTCAACAGTTTCTTCATTGTGACCTGATAGAACAGATGTCAAAGGATGTTTTTCTGCAAAAAACAAAAGTTGGAGAGTTTGAAAAATTGTATCAATATTGCCCGGGATCGTCGACCCGGGTCTTCCCTTAATGAGGTTTTCTTTTTGATAAAAATGACACTCTACCATCAGTAAATATATTTCAAAGTAACATAAAGTAAACATACTCAGCAATGTGTAATCCCAAGACACCATCAGAGTAAAAGTGAAAAGTGATATATTAAAAATTGAACAATGAAATTTATAGTGTGAAAAGCTGAAACAATAAGTACTAAACAACTAAAGACAATTTGACCGCCCACAAGTGGTTGAATCATTAAGTAGCTTCACAGTTACTATGAACACAGAATTTTCACAACAACAGCCACCCCATAACACTTTTTATTCAAGAAATTCCTTCAAAGATGTATGATTTTCTCGTAATTAAAAAAAAAGTGTTATAGACTTCTACTAAAGTACATCATCCTAGATTTTAATACTTAATTTTAATTTTTTGCCAAAGCATGGCAATCAATTGCCATGGCAGCAAAACAAGATGGTCTAAGAGCTATTATAAACAAAAACAAAAGAAGTCAAAGCGTGGGTAAAAAACTGAATATGTCAGTGGCATTTTTTCATTACCATGCAATTCATATTTATATATCTTTGGTATGAGTCAGTGTACTTAGATGAGTTAGAGTACTGTGGCGTACTACAGTACTATTCTGACACTACAATCTCCTAATTTGATGACAATAATTTCGAAACATTAACTCTCTAAGGATGAAGCAGTCACATAGGTCCGACAACAGACCAAAGGACATTTTGAAACAAATTTTGATTGATCATACATACACCAGAAACATATACATATATTTGTATATTTCATAGAATGCATGTTGTTTGTGTTTTCTAGGTTTAATTGAATTGAAAAACGTGAATAACTAAGTTATAATTCTTTTTTTTATTGTCCCCCCCTAAATACTGCGTATCAAATGACCAAAAAGCACGTCCACTATGAGTTAATCTTATTTTCTTACGCATACTTGCTATGGTTACTCATCGAACATTTGCACAATTAATTTTTAAAAAATCCTCACTAGACAGAAAGTCTTGTTCTTTGTCACAAAAAGCTTGGCTGGTTGACTGCATTAGACAGTCTCCCAATCCGGCACTAAAGTGTTCTTAAACAAATGCTTATACTGATGTTGCGAGAGCCCTACCTTCTCAATGGTTTCAGCAAACGTGGACTTGGAACTGTCCTCTTTGTTGATGACCAAAAACAGTTTGCAGAGCAAAGCCCTCGAAGCCCTCCGCTCCACGCTACAGAACAGCTGGGACACTTGTCTGAGGAGGCACAAAGAGACCAAATGAAGTATGATATAAAATTGTATTTTTTTCTCCGGTCAAGAAAACAATAATTGTTAAAAGCTACAAGAGCCCCAATAGGTGTTTAAGTTTTATAGCACTTTCAAAACAATTAGGTCATGTAAGTGCCAAGGATTAGAGGTGTTACTACAGATTAACAGACAAAGAAAAGAAGGAGCAAAGGTAAGGACAATTTAATGTTTGGTAAAAAAAAAAAAGAAAAAAAAAAAGCAAATCACACCAGATCACCCTCCAACTACCGACCCCCACAGGTAAAAAAAAATCAGATAAAAACAGGATGTAGAAGAGTCTCGACACAAGAATATTACACTCAGACCTGCCAAGCACTTTATTAACAGAAATAAGCAGTTTTCCTCAGAATCCTCCAAAGAAATTTGAGTTCGGAAAAGAAATCGGAGTCTCCAGAACCACAGTAGATAAAGATTATATCACAAACCAGCCATGACAAATAAACATGTAAGAGCAAGTTATTTAGTTATTTTATCCCGCCAGCTCTACCGGCCCTGAAGTCTTTATAAAACCAAAACAGAAGACGCAAAATTACTGATTAATTATAGAGGCAAAACCCCACAAAACACAACTGCCTATTGAAAAGAAACATAAAAGAAAGTACAATGATATGAATTAATACAGGCAAAAGTTAAACTTTCATGTATCATTTCTATTATGCTATAATACTGTAAGGCAAACAGACTCTTCTCATTTATATTAACATTGTGAGATACTACGCGTATAACAGTACTAGTTTCACGCATGGTCTGTGAACAACTCATAACCAAGATTTCTTTACAGACAGGCATTTGGATACAAGAACAGGTAATCGAGTAGCTGCTCCATGGGCGCAGCAGTCGAGTATGAGGGTATAGAGTAATCAGAGTACACTTAACACATTTGAACAGGGGCCTGACTTAAATTACACTTAATTAAGGTCGTGAGCTGAACGGTGTTAACACTCATGGAGCAGTGGAAAACTAAATCTTTTTAAAACAAAGATATGAATTAATACAGATAAAAGTTAAAATAATAACAAATCAAGGCATACCAGTTTTTGTTCTTATGCCAATTTGCCAGAGCTGGATGTTGGGCATCTTTTCCACAGTATATGCGGTATATATATGTTTGAAGAAGGTTCTTTGAAGGAGACTCTCAATATGGACTACCTAAAATTCTTTTGCGGGACAGATATAAAATTGTTCTCAGGGTCGGATGCATTACAGTAATTCCATCTCACCTGTAAAACACCTGTGGGTTGTCCACGTGCTGCAACAGGTTGGTCACACAGGTCAGAGTGTTCTCCTCCATGTCCTGGATGGGAGGAAAAAAAGCACAGCGGTCAGATTTTGTTATCACAGGTAAAACTCACAAAATTTTTAAAAAATTAACAACACAAAACAAACCCAACCCCAATGAATTTCACAGAAGAAAAGAGCCTCACTCCACCCTCATGAACAGAGAAGTTTAGCGCTTTTTTTCCTTTTTGGTAAGTATTTTTACGGCGCTCGCAACTGCATAAGGTCATATGAGTGCGCGGGACACACCTAATATTTTCAGTTGGTAGGAAATTTTGAATTTTGCCCGGGTGGCCGCCGAAGCCTACTTTTATCGATTTTAGACCACCAAGGGATCTTTAACGTGCGCAACTTGCACATGGGCCCTCTGAGATTTTTCGCCCTTGTCCGAGAAGGCTAGGTGTAGATCCTTCCTACCAGAAGATCAGGGGTGTGGCAGAAAGACAGCAGTAAGGAGGAGCCAAGGAGTAGCAGTAGAAAGGTTGCAAAAAGAGTCAGTTTAACGCTACACTTATTTGTGTAATAATTAATAATAACAGACGGCATTTGTACAGCACAAATTTCTGCTCAATAGCAAGCTCGATGCACTTTACAGTCTATACTATTACCCCAGCAGACCTGATAGCATTCTAAACAATCTCAACGTCCTGGGAAGCATACAGTGCAAGCTGCCATTTACGGGTGCTAAAACATTAACATACTGACAAGATCTTTCACTGGGCACCCAATCTCACTTGGGTGAAGTGAGGAAAGTTCGTGCAAACCAAATGAGGCAATGTCGGGCTGTGGCTACAAGCCCCAAACCCACAACCTAGAGATTACGAGTCTAGCAGTCTAGACCACTAGACTACCTAAGTGATCTGCTAACTATTCATTGAGGATCACAATTGTAAATGAATTGATGAACTGTAAATGTCTTATGCCCCACCTACACAATTTAGATCACAACCTGAACAGAGAGGGAGACAACTTCCCAGTCATCAGACAGAGACACTTAACAAAAATATGTTCACTACTCAAAAATCAAACTCGTGTCTTCTGAATGGAAAGGTGAAAAGCCTAGCAAGTACAGCACATAAACCGGTCAATGATCAACATGTCTATCATATTGTACAAATATGCCAGGAAGTGAACAACAGAGCTCTTTCTATTTTACCAAGCCCAGTTTCTGTCATATTTTAAAACTGTCTTTAGCATTGGCATAAGCCTGAGGTTTCAAACCCAAATTGCCCTGGGGGCGCTGGAGGTAGCCTCTGTTTGCCTGGGTTGTATCAAGTATCCCACCCAAAAAATTTTTTTTTTTAAAAAGGTAAAAAGTCAAGAGTGTAAAATTCACCCCCCCCCCCCCCCCCCCCTCCAACTCAACAATCAGACTTTTCTTATGTTGAGTTTTAACAGGCGAGTGATCTTACCTCTGGTAGGGTAGTGCTGCTGGCCAGGTAAGGGATGAGGAGGTCACATAGGGTCCGGCACTCCGAGGGAGCGGTGACGAAGCGGCTGATGCTGAGTAAGAGAAAAGTGATCATCACAGAGCTTTGTCTGAATAGAGAGAAGCATACCCACACAATAATGGTCATTTAAGAGAGGGTGAGGGAGTGGGGAAGGGTGAAGTAGACCCCCCTATTTTTATTTGATACTTTGGGGTCATGAATCTACATGACTGTTTTCTAAATTTGAGCAAAGAGAGAAGCATGTCAACTCAATAACGGTCTTTTCGTTAATTGAAGGGGAAAACAAGACAGACGGAAATAACAGATGGAAGTAATAGGAGATACCAGTAGCATCCTTCAACACACCTGTATTCTTACAGAACATGAATACCCTGTGGCTCAGTGACTCACAATAATGTCAAATATGTCAGTGACACAGTATTCAAATAAGTGGTCACTGTGGTGTGTCCTTGAGCACAACATGATAACCTCAGCTAAAAAAACCTCAACCCAAGGTGCTGCACAGTGGCGGCCATTAACAGTGTTATTGTAAGATTATCTGTGTTGCTGTGATACTGTGAAATATGTGAAATTGATGAATTAATATGTGCACATATTTATTCATCATCGGTGCCACAGAAAGATTGATAAAAAGTCAAAGTTTATAATATTTTTGTTAAATCAAAAGCAATTGTGGGTGGTTCTTTTCTATCAAATATCAATCATTCGTATCTCTCCTTCTTTCATTTATATTTTACTATTTAATAACACCTCTTATCTCCGGCACTTATATGACCTAATAGTGTTGCAAGTACTGTTAAACTTTAACTAAGCAAATTAAACAAAGATTTACCTGGCCAGTATTTTCAGCTCCAGGATGAAGGTGTGTTTCTTCCCTGCTGACCCGTTGACCAACTTGCTGAGAGCCTTCTGCAAGTACCTCAGGAGCTCCGGCACATGAGGGGAGATAAATACTTCTCCAAGACCCCTCTCATCGTGATCCGATGCTGAGATGATATAAAAGACGTAACTTTGTCACCCTCCAGAACTTCACAGTATGACAAAACAACTATGTATTAGAAAAAGATGCTCTCTACCTAGGCCTCTAATATGAGAATGTACATAGTCTCTATATATTTCCAGGGTCACTGGTTTCTTGAAATAGATTTCAACTGGCTCATAAAAAGTTTCCTGCCGCAGATGAATTTCCAGGAAAATTTAATTCATAACAAAACAAGTTACATGAATAATAGTCCGTCCTTGTCATAAGGAAAGATTTTCATTGAGGTTCAGAAGAACGACATTGACAATGGTTTCCGATCTAAAGACAAGGTGACCTTATTCTTCCAGTAATATGTTTAAATAATAATAATAATTGCATTTATATAGCGCATATCCATGCTCAAGAGCGTGCTCTATGCGCTTTACAACTATTATTACCCCTGCAGACCCTCTGAGAACACACAGAAACATTCTCGGCTTCCGCGGAAGCATACAGTGCAAGCTGCGGATTTCCGCGCTCAAACACACATCAAACTGACAAGATCATTCACTGTCTATAGCCAGTCTAAATCATAACTCCACATACAATAGAAGTTATCTAAGACAGCCACATATTGTCAAGAAGAAAAATGGCTGTCTTAGACAGGTGGACGTCTTACAGTGTCAATATAAAGTTTTTTAAAAGCTCAAGGGGGGGAAATGGGAAGTGGCTGTTTGTACAGGGGACTGTCTTGGCTTATACAGGTGGCTGTTAGAGCAGGTTCGACTATATATCTTTCACCAGGTGTCAAATCTAAAACAAAAACTGGGGCATTTATACCTCTGAAGACCCCGGGTAAGGCAGACGCGGTCTTGTCACCAGAGGCCTCCTCTTCTGCCTCCTCATGGCCGAGTACACAAAGCACAATGTCAAGGACAGCTGCAGCTACGTCAGAGCTCACAGCCGGGGCATTGAGGAGAGCAAACATGCAGGAGAATGGGCTAGGTCCGGAAGCAGTGACGACGGCCCCCGTGGTGATCTCTGATGTAAAGTCCGACCCTTTGACATGTCCGAGGAGAGGAACCAGTCTGAAGAGTAAAAACGTGTGTGGAGTGAGAGAGAGAGAGAGAGAGAGAGAGAGAGAGAGAGAGAGAGAGAGAGAGAGAGAGAGAGAGAGAGACACTCATTAACTTACACAATAACGATCATTTGGAGCAAAGCAAAAGTATGGACAGAAACAACAAAGAAAACAAGAAAAAAACAACAACTTTGTTTTAGAAAGTGCTTTATGGCACTTGCAACACAATTAGGTCCTCCCATGAGGGCCAAAGATTAGAGAAGTTACAAGAGAGTAAGTAACAAGCACAAAAAAAGAGGAGAGATTGGGATGATATATAATTGATAGGAAAGAAGGAGGCAAACCACATCAGGACACCCATCAACCACCAAAAAGAAATGAAAAAGAAAGAGTGAGTAGTTAGAATCACAGTTGAAGAGTGGGCACGTCAATGAAATAATGCTTCTTGCAAGTGGTAAAATTTGGCAGATAAAACAGGTACGAAGGAAACGAAAGACCCAGAAGAGGGATATAAATGGACAACTCCAGTAAACTGGACAAGAGGAAAACATTTTCTGTACACAACTTTATCAGGATAAATCATTCCTTCAATGAAAACAAGTCCTTGCATTTCAAATGAGGTTGAGTTCAGGGATGCTGTAGGAATTTTGAGAAAACAACTGAGTATTTACAAAAGTTGCATTTGCAAACTAAAAGACAGTCAATAGACACAACTAATATGAGCATGGGTCTCAACTCAGAATTTTAAAAAAGGAGGAACTTTCTGGGTGATCGCTGCAGAAGCCCATTTTCGCGAAACACCCATTATTATTATACTGTTGAACGCTAGAATGCTGAAATAAAAACCATCAATTTATCAAAGCAAGGTTATTTCACACCAATTTGAGGGTATGGGAGATAATTTCTAGTAAGAGTCACGTACCAATTGTTTACAATCTTGATTACGTAAAGAAAATGGTGGCGCCTGGGGTCTTGTGCGACTTATTTATAATTTTCCCTTCATCATATTTGCCTGTATATATAAACTATATAAAAATGAATCTTGTTTTGAGCCTAGAACCAGAATATCGGCTGTCATGATTCATATCACAGGCCTATATATATATTACTGATTTGAAAGCGATACATTTTGTCTTCGGGCAGAGAGAGAAAGAGAGAGAGGAGGAGGAGGGAGAAAGAAAGAGAGAGAGAGAGAGAGAGAGAGAGAGAGAGAGAGAGAGAACGAGAAAGAAGAGAGAGAGAGGGGAGAGAGAGAGAGAGAGAAAGAGAGAGAGAGAGAGAAAGAAGAGAGAGAGACAGAGAGAGAGAGAGAGGGGAGGAGAAGGGGGGGGGGGAGAAAGAAAGAAAGAGAGAACGAGAAAGAAAAGAGAGAGAGAGAGAAAGAGAGTAAGACAAAAATTAATGCTCAAACTCAAAGTAGAGTACAATAGCCCAAGTAGACCTATTCAGTGTGAGAGGAGTAAAAACTGTGGAAGGGTAAAATGCAGTGATACTGAAAATCTGTGAACTTTGAACAGAAAGCTAAAATATCTATATATAGAGATCTAATTTACTGTCACCAATCCATTGAAGCGCGAACACCTAGGCTCGTAAGTTCCATAACACGCTTACAAGTTATGACGGTTTTCGATTTCACACAAGGCCTGCACCAACGCACACTTTACTTTGCAGAGAGCTGTAGTAGTAATCAAAATTCTAAACATTAAACATTTGTTTCCAGTTGGTTTTTTTTGTCCTCTGGTGTTGCGACCAAATGCTGAAAATAAGTGTGTCTTTAAAAAAAATCAAGAAAATAGCCCCCCCCCCCCCCACCCCCCCAGAAAAACAGCAACCCTGTGAATTATTCAAGGGGCAGGACAAGGAACTCACAATACAACATCTTAGATCAGCAGACCTTGACAGTCAGCGAGAACAAACAAAACAATCCCCATCAGGGGTCTCCAAGGTCACCCAGCATAACACTGAGGTGGAAAAAAAAACAGAGGAAATTTACGTTTAAGTTTGTTTTCAGATAGTTTAGACATCAGAGGTCAAACTCCAGAGGAAATGCAGCGCTAAAATTATTACCAGATGGTTTAGACATCAGAGGTCAAATTCTAACAGGAAGAGATCATCAACTTTACCTGTTGCTTCGACTCCAGAACACAAAAAGTTTCAACAGCGGTGTCGGGTGATGGACTCCCTCCAGCACCAGTTTCTCAGCCTGCAAAAGAAAACATTCAGTTTTTGAGTTTTAGTCAACATTTTACAGCACTTGCAACATAATACAGTCAAATAAGTGCTGAAGATTAGAGGTGTTACAAGACAGTAGACAGTAACAAACACAAAAAAGGAGGATAGACAAGGACGATAAATGTTTGAGGAGCAAGCCACACCAGAGTGCCAATCAATCACAAACTAAGAATACATTATTCATGATAAAAATTACTGAAATAAAATACAAAACAACCCGAGTTTGTACAGATCCTTGAGGAGTCAATATTTCAAGAAATTTGGCATCAAAAGGCAATTATTACACAATCCAAACAGATGTTTCAAATCATGTTCATATCATGTTAATAGAACAGACACTAATACCAATACATACTTCAGATTTGTTTGAATAATCTAACGATGTCAACAATGCCACCGAACACTTATCATTTCCATACCCTGAAGCACTTTTGTTCTCCCGGGGATGTAGGGAAAATTTACTAGTTGTGTACTTAAACTAAAACCAAAGGCCCTAGATTTTTTTTCTCTCAAATAACCTGTGCTGAGCAAGCATTTAAACAGCCCCCCTCCCCCTCCTCCCAAACTACATACACAAAAACATGTGCCTCTCACCGTACCTCCATCACGACGCACACACACAAAAATAGTACAAAGTGCAACCCCCCCCCCCACGAACAAGAAGACAACAGAAAATAGTGAAAAGAGTGCCCCCCCCCCCTCCCACACACACACAAGAGCCATCACTTACAGCTGGCCACACCACAGCCTGGAACAGGGCATCCAACTCTTGGGCTGTGAAGTCCAGGTCCTCATAGTATTCCAGGAACTAGACACAGACAAAGAGATAAAACATTAGACGTTGGTCAGTGTCTCTTGTCTTCTCATATCAGCAGTAACAAGTCAGCAACACCAATCCATTTTATAATTTATTCCTGAATTTGAGTGGAAAGAATAAGAGAAACAGACAGAAACGTCATCAGGGAAGAAAAGAAGTAGGTCCTACCGGTGGTATCTGCAACCACCCGCCAATCCAATATATAAGGAAAAAAACAAACAAACAAAAAAAAAATGATGTAAACAAATTCTCAGGATTTCTTCTTCGTACAGTTGCATCAAATCACACACAAATCAAAACAAAAAGCTGTTGAAAGCACATCACACTCATTGTTCCTTGATCCACCAAAAACTTTCCAAAACATTCAAAAACACTCGAACAGTACCTCAGTGATCCTGAGGACAACAGTGTGCCTGAGTGACTTGAGCAGGTTGATCGCTCCCTTGACCACCTGCGTCCGCATGTCCAGCACTGAGCTCAGTAGAGCAGCCAGGCCCAGCAACATGTGCAGGAGTGGGTGAGTAAAGCCCTCCAGGTGATGTCCCTGTTTCTGCAGCACTGTGTGGACGGTGTTCAGCACACTGAGGAGAAAAAAACATTATTGAAGAGTGCAGAGGAAAAAATGGCACGTCGCAACTTTCCATTTTTGCAGGCTGGAATAGGAGGGGGGGAGAATTCATTCAAGAGTACAGAGGAAAAAATGGCATAGGTGGTTTAAACTCACTCAATCCCAGGAGTTTCTCCCGAAATTGTACCCAGAAACCTGTCATTTTGGCACTTATGTAAAGGCCCACTAGTAACCATAAATATAATTCAATTGCTTTGACATTTGGCAAAAAGTACAACCTAAACTGGGTCTTTAGAAATACCAAATTTGAAATATGTAGCTTTAGCAGTTTTGCTATGGGGTGTAGTACAAATATGGCATTTTGGGGGCTTATAATTTTTTTAAAGGCCGAATGAGCAAGAGCAAGCCTACATTGATATTCAAATATGCTTGTGAGTGTCTAAATCTATATTTTGTCATGTATAATAAAGACTGTTGAGTACTTTCGAGAATATAAAAAAAATGTATGTATGAGAAAGGCAGAGAGAATGGATTGTGAGACATACTTAGCTGATCAATGTGAACAAAAGTGCTGAAAGTGCCTTTATAAAAACCGCGATTTCTCGATTCCAGCACCCCTCTAGGCAGAATTGGCCAGGGAAATAATAAATTGATCTTATATAAAACTTGGGGCTGTTTTCCGAAACTAAATAACAAGTAAATCAAACAAAACTATAGAACTGAGTTATCTCGGTCGTGGGAATGAACACAGCCCATGAGCTGACTGAGATATCTCGGTCACGGGATTGAGTGAGCGAACACTATCTCAATTGAAAACAGTCCAAATGACAAAAGGCCACACATTTGTAACAGTTGTACAGGGAAAGGGCAATACAGGGACAGAAACAATAAAGGAAAAAAAAAAAAGCATTCAACTCTATTTCTGTGACCAGTGTCATTTTTGCCCAGTCATCTTTAACTCTTTTGGTGCTGAGGTGTTTCCATGTGTGTTTGTACATACACAATAAAATGTTACCCCATGAAAGATTTAAACAAAGTCATGATGCCATTCTCACTACTACTGGTAACCCTGAATGAAGAAACAGAATCCATATAACAGCCAGTACATCACTGTGGCAGATGAGATTTAAAGAGACCAAGTTCTGTGACAGATATGATTAGGAAAAGAATGTGAACTGCGCATTGTCAACGAGAATGTGAAAATTTCTGTTGGATATGTCCAAGTTTCAGCAAGAACACAATTGATTTCAAAAGAAAAGGAAGGGAAGGGACCACAGGCAGGAAGAAACAATGACTGGATATTGTGAGTAAAAGACCGAGGAGTGATTGAAAGAGAGGAGTCTTGAAATCAAAGATTCCACTGAAAATAATCAGCACTGGAACAAAATGTAATGAAAATCAAAGCTACATGAAATAAAAATTACCCTTTGATTTTCTTGAGTGGAATCATTTTCTTGAGGTCTGTATTTTCCATTGTAGTTTTGACCATGGTCACAGGGTCATCTATGTCAAAAAGGAACAAAATATATCATATAAATCTAACATGAAAACAAATGAACAGTGGGGAACACAAAATGCATAAATGAAATGCCCCCCCCCCCCCCCAATCCTTCTTCAATTGATTTTTTAAACAAATGTTATCAGGGTTTAAAGTCTGCATCTTTGAAAAAAGCATTAACCTTGAGCTGAATGTGCAAATTTAAAAGTTTTTTTTTTGGTTAAAGTAGCTGCATTAAAACTGAACTTCGGTGTTTTAAAAAAAGAGCTAGAAATAAGTGTTCTGGAAAAGGCTTTCACATGTCTCAGGATAAAATCACATTTCGGGTACAAGGTGTTTAGTTACAAGGTCTGTCTTTTGTTTAAGTAAGAGTTTTACAGCACTTACACGCAACACAATAAGGTCATATAATTGCCGAAGATTAAAGGTGTTTACAAGAGAGTAGCAAACACAAAAAAAGAAGGAGAGATAATAATAACAGATGTTTGATAGGAAAGAGAAAATGAACCACACTAGAGCACCCACCGACCAGCCACTCACGAGGTCTTTCCCACACGACTCCAAACAATACTTTTGAGTTCACAGTTGTCTTACCTGTGACAAAATGCATGCAGGGCTGGAAGAGCAGAGTGAGGAAATATCGGAGCTCATCCGGCTTGCAGCCACTCAGGAAGCCAAACACAATGGACTTGCGCACTCGACTGCGCGATGTTCCGGCTGTGTCGTTGCCAGCTTTACCGTGCATCTTGCCATACAGAATTCTGCGATAGAAAAACTAGGTGTAAATAAAATTCCCGAACCAGGCCTAAATTGTCCAATGTCACAAAACTCAACTTATACCCTGCTTTGCTTTCAAATTATATTAAATTTCATTTCTGCCAGATTAGAGCTATTGTTGCAACAGTGAGTAGATGTAAAAGCAGGCAGTTATTTTAAAATTTAGTTAGAGTAAGATTTTTACAGCACGTGCACCACAAACAGGTCATATCAGTGACAAAAATTAGGTGTTACTTAAGAGAAATATTTAAAAAATAAATAATAATATGATAGGGGAGATAAGGACAATAGATGTTTGAAAGGCAAGAAGAGGTAAACCACATCAGAGCACCTACCAACCACTCACAGGCAGAGTTCTTTTTTATTTTCGGTAAGTGTTTTATGGCTCTCACAATAGCATAAGTTCATATGAGCGCTCCGGCACACCTAATATTTTCAGTTGGTAGGAAATTTTGAATTTTGCCCGGGTGGTGGCCGAAGCCTACTCTTATCGATTTTGGACCACCAAGAGATCTTTGACGTGCGCAACTTGCACAGGGGACCTCCGAGATTTTCCCCCCTTGTGCAAATGGGCAAGGTGTAGATCTTTCCTACCAGAAGATCAGGGGTGTGGCTGAATTACAGCAGTAAGAAGGAGCCAAGGAGAAGCAATGGAAAGGCTGCAGAAAGAGTCAGGAGCCCAGAGGAGGGGGCAAAGGAGGTGAGGGGGAGGGGGCAGAAAGAGGAGACGAAAGCAGAAGACAGAATATTGCCAGAGAGAAGGAAAGGAGGTGAAAGGAGGCAATTTAAGAGAAGAAAATGTTTCTGTTGCTACCCAGATTCGAACCCGGGACCTTTGAGAGGCGAACACCTTAATCTCTAGGCCACGAGAGCCCCCCAGGCAGAGTTCTGTCACTAGAGACGGTAGAACGTATGTCAAATTGAGCTCTGCTGTATGATCTGTGGGAATGACGAATGACCAAAAAAAAAATCCCTTCTACTGATAAGAACAATTAACACGTATCTGTGGATAATAACTAAACTCTTCAGTGTTGCATGCGGATGATGTGAGTTCCATTCCTGAGCGGGGAGGCCATTTTACTGAGTATCACCAATAAGTCTGATAGGATGTCACATCCCTCTCAGTCCAAGTTGGCCAGATCTAGGCTGATGGGGACAATAAATGATAAAAATACAATCACATTTCCACATGTAGAAAAATGGACGCACATATGACAAACCTGCGATGAAATAATGAAGAAAGGGCACAATTAATCAATTATTTTATACTTCAAACCATTCGATATACACAGAATTAAAAATTAGATGTAACCAGTGCTCCCTCAGTCACATATTCCTTTGTCAATTCAGAGATAATGTAATTTACAAACCTCATGAGGACTGGGAGCAGCCCGTCTCTGTCACCGTCTTTGACCTCTGAGTTCTCCTCATCGACCCGGAACAAAATAATCTCGCTCTTGAACGTTTTGTCGTCCAGCAAGCGGTTGAAATTCTCTCTGTGAGACAAAAAGGGATTTTTTAAAAAGACAGAACATTTGTGTTTTTAAAGTTTTAGTAGAGGTTTTACGGCGCTCGCAACTGCATAAGGTTATATGAGCGCCAAGGGGTGAAGGTTAAAAGAGAAGTCCTTACAGGGAATCAGACTTACTCCGCTAACCTCTCTAGCTTCAACAACACAAAGTCTGCTTCGACTATCAAGGTACTCCGGAAAAAGCGGGTCACAAGAGAGCGACAAACATACAAAAGAAGTAGAGGGAAATTGACCATAGTAAGGATGAGGAAAGAAAAAGCAAGTTCCCTGTTGCAATTCCGGCACAGTTATGAGTATGACATCGACGAATCAGCCCATTTACAATTTTACTGTGCAACAGAACATGGTAATGTCTCCCCTTTGAGAATGGCCTAAAGACACTTCAGTCAGTAGCACCGCCCTTAGTAAAACTGGTCTTTGATGTATTAATCTTCACTTCATAGAAAAGCACTTCCAAAAGGAAATTTCAAACAGAATAATCCCTGCTTCACATGAAGCACTGCACTATGGAGACATTATCTCTCTCTGATGGCAGTATCTGCTGATATTTGGCAACCACAGGTTTGATGTCTTTAGTTTTAGTAGCGGTTTTACAGCGCTCGCAACTACATAAGGTCATATGAGCGCCAGAAGATTAGAGGTGTAACAAAAGTGTAACAAACATAAAAAAGAAGAAGGGGAGATAAGGACAATAGATGTTTCATAGGAAAGGAGAAACAAACCACACCAGAGCACCCACCAACCACCCACGTTTGATGTCTGGAACACCAATGTGTTTGACACATACAAGAAGAGTAGATGTCAGTTGTCCCAGGAAAAAAAACACCTTCCACCTAGAAGCTTTCACACAGATCAGAGTGGACTGCAAAAATAATGGCGGAGGCAGCGTCATCTCCTACATCAAGAATGTCCCAATTTTTTTCTCCACATGTCTACAATGCTTCCTCCAGCAAAACTGAAATGATGATATTCAAAGTAAAGATCAGAAAAGGTCAGAACCCGCAGATTCCAGTGGAGCATAAAGTGGCGACCTGCCCTCTTCCTGTCTGCCTTAGAACAGCTATCCTCAATGACTTTCAACGAACAGTCCCACATTTGGGACACATTCCATCCCCTGACGCACAAAGGGAGGAATTGGTGAACGGGCTCTATTTAGCCAACTCCAAAATTTTCTGAAACCAGGGGGGGGGGGGGGGGGGGGGGGGAGGAGGAATGTTGTCAAATAAATGATCTCAACAAAGGATGTAAAAAATCTAAAAATTCTTTCAACATGACATTTGAGTTAAAGTGGTTTTTGAAATATTAATTAAGGTTTCCTGAGAGATGTCCAATCCATGCCCGCCACCACTGATACATATCAATTGCTCATAGTAAGACTCCACTAAACGCCATTTTGACAAGTAACGCGTGACTGAGTCTTACTCTGAGCAGTTAATATGTATGCAATTCCCAGCAGCTTACCTTATTAGCAGCTTACCTGTAGGGCAATATGTGAGGTGACTTGTAGGTGACCAAACACTCAAAAGCAGCCTTCTGGATTGAGCTGTTTCTGTTCTTTAGCAACTGAAATAAAACACAAGACAGAAAGAAAATTAGAGATGACAAAACTAAGACAGATATTGTTTACTTCCCATTTCAACACCACTTTAGATTCAAACAGTCAGCTTTCTTAGTACATCCTATTTCTGCCCTTGGACTTAATCATTCCTTTTTATCCTTTAAACAGTCTTTATTTCAAAATCTGAATCAGAACACCATTTCTTTCACAAACAGTAAGCAAAAGGGAAAAAGAGTAACATTAGACAAGGGTACAAGCACAAAACAGTAAAAAGCCTTAATCCACAAATCAAAAAACCAAAATCTACAGGCCATTTAACCCCATGGTTACCGCATAGTACAGAGATGCCAACCACAGAAAACCGAAATGAGTATTGGGAAATATGAAAATGAAAATGTGTATTTTCAGGGGAAAAAATGTATTCTCCACGACCGACCAACCAACTAGTAAAATGTTCAGGGTGTCCAGCAATATTTCCTGAAAAATTTTTTTAAGCTCCCCAGCTCGAAAAAGGGAGCACACACACGTACAATAAACATGTATCCGGTCAACAACATGTCAGTGTTCAGTGTCGCACTGGGGTCTTGTTTGACTTAAGTATTTCAGTCTGTTATAATATTTTCCTCTCATTATTATAATAAAAAAATTAATCCTGTTTTGAGCGTGCGGAAGGGCCTAGAACAAGAATTTCAACTATCAAGAACCAGTCTGGGTGTCATGATTCATATTATGAACTGACAGACTAAAATTATTGCTCAAACTCGGAGAAGAGCAATAGCTTGAATGGCTCAAGTAAACCCATGCAGTGAGAGAGTTGTAACTGTCGGAGGGCGAGATGCAGTGACACTGAAAATCTGCCCGTCTTGAACAGAAAACTACAACATACACTGTAGGTATTATTTACTGTCACCCATCCAATGACACGCAAACATTTTATTTCAATTACACAGACTTGCAAAGTATGAAGGGTCCCTATTCCACACACGGCCTGCACCAACGCGCGCTTTGCAGAAAGCTCTAATCAAAATTCTGAAGTTTGCCTCCAAGTTTGTGTCCTCTGGTTTTGCCTTCACGAGGTGCATTAAAAATTTTTTAAAAAATCAAAAATCCCCTCCCCTATTCCGTAGTCCTATACTTGGCAACGCCGTTACTCCCACCAAACACGGTCTTTGCTCACACGATGCCGCATTTATTTGTGACGCGAATGCGCGCAGGTTCATTGACCGGTCACGATGGCGAGCCCGACAATCTAAAAATCAGACGACACTTGTATTTTCTTTTCTTTTTTTCCTTCAAGTGACAGTACAGAGACGAGTTCGAGAAATTTTATTTGCACGGCAACACAACGTTTACACTGCACAACCTGCATGTCACAAATAAGTTACGTTATCAGTCTACCGCTGACAAACTTCTCGGTGGTAACGAAAGCGAAAGTAGATCTTGATTTTCCCGATCAAGCCTCGGTGTCACATACACTTCCATCTGCCGACATAGCCGCCTGTTCGCGTGAAAGTGAAACGTACTCTTGGAGGAGGAAACGCTAAACGAATATAATATTACAATCGCGACCGGCAAAAATGAACTTACTGACCTTATCAGACTTGGTTTTCAAATATTCAGGTTCCGCAATACTGATACTATTTTGACAAAAGAGGGGACTTGAGATAATTAGGTTACTCGCCCAAACCGGATCTCGTATTTTTCGCATTCCAGGAAACATATTTTTTCATGAAAAGTCGTATTCGCGTACTTTCGGCAAAAAATCGTACTAATTACGTAAAATCGTACTGGTTGGCATCTCTGCATAGTATGTCACTGGGTTTTGAGAGTATTCACCATAAATCAGATGAATCAGCCATAGTCAGTGTCACAAATCCAGCTTAACTAATTTATTGAAAATTCTTCAAAAAGACCAAACCAAAAGTTAAACATATAAAGCAGAGCTTTGTTGTGACGTTTTTTCATATTTACTTGATATGCAGAGCTATCTGCCGTTTCTGAGTATTGCTTTGTGTTTGATCTAAACATAATGCATTAAGTTTGCCAAGTAATGCCAAAAGATATAACCCACAAATCAGGTCTAACTAAGCAAAAAGATGTAGCCCATCACCAGTGAAATAAGAAATATAAGTTCCAGCACTAAGGTATAGCTTTGTACCTGATGGAAAGTGTCCTGGACTTCAGGCTTATTGAACATGGATCTCTGCTTTTTGAACAGGGCAAACAGATCTAGGTGGACTAGAAGACTCCTGCAGGGGGGGGGGGGGGGGAGGAGAAGGGAAAGAAGAGATTTTTCAAGATGATTTTATCGGTCTTTGGCACATACATCCACATATCATAACATATGACTGCAAATATGTAAATTGGGGCAGCACATCAGATAAACAAATAAGATGAGTGAGAAGATACTGTTGAAGGAAAATAAATTTACAGATACAATGACATATATTCATACAAAGGGTATGTAAGTACATACATACATACAAAAGAGGACGAGATAAAACAATGAAAAGTTTTGTGGCGAAATAGGTTACCTCCAGCATTTGAAGTTTCGATTTTTTCCTCTTTAGATAACAAATGGGATTTTTAATCTTTATTTTTATTGCTTTGAAAATTGTGTATAAAACATTCTGTAACCAAAGATTTTATGCTGCTATGATTAATCAGTTGTTATTTTAAAAAAATAGCAATACAGATCATAAAACAAAAAGTCAGCTTTTTGAAAGACTTGTTTTCCACTTTGGATGTAATGTACATTGTCACAAAGGCCTTCAAGCGCACAAACACCATATCTTCATTATTTCACGTCCCAGCACCACTTGTATCATGAACATTTCTCCTGTTACGATAATTTATCTAAACTCCTTATCTCCGGCAAGCCCTCCAAGCTGCTTGCAGTCTGTACTGGTGATGTGCTGTCAATAGCTCGGTCAAATTCCTTTCTGATGATGGCATCATATTTATTCTCGGCAATTGCCAAAATTAAGTCGCTCTTACTGGGAGTTCTTTCATAAGATGTAGAACTATCAAAAAAGGTCATTTATTTTGATTTAATGTCATGTCCAGTTAAGTGGCATAATATATGTCACTTTCAGGTTCCGTACCAAAAAAGGGTTCCAGCATAGTGAGGTAACCCCCACCGGAGATAAAGATTTGAAACATGACATTGAGATAATTAGTTTGCATTGACACAACAACTCTCATGTGGGGAAGAGTATGACAGACAGGTAGACAGACAGACAGAAACAGCAGATGGAAATAAAAAGAAGTAGGCCCTACTAGTGGTGCTCTCCAACACCCACAGTTCATCTCGAAAAACAGCAAACAAAAAAAAAAAATAATTGCAGAAAAACTTTGTAAACAATATCTAGACAAGCCAGTGTTGGCCCAAACCTTACTCTCTCAGAGGAAAACGGCTACCTGATTACTTTGCCCTAAAATGAAAATAAACATGCACAGCATTTAACTTTAGGGACCCCAGACTGAACATCTAAATATATTATAAAACCATGAATACACCCTGATAAATCCTGGTTTATTTTGCTTGAATGAACTTCAGCCATTCAAAAAGCATGGAAGTTGAATTTAAGTAGGATAAACAATTTATGAAGAGAGAGGAACAATTTGAATTTTTCATTTATGGAACGAAACAGATTTGTAAAAAGACAATGAACTTCGATGCCCAAAAAATCAATTTAACCATTCCCGTTCCAAAGTCAGAAATAGAAACAAATGTCTTCATTAACCAAAAAGAGTTGAGATATAAGGAAGCAAACAGACCTCCCAAAGCCTTTTTTTCAAGTTGCCTTAAAACAAAAATTTATGGAAGAAAAACAAAAACTATCTGCTGTGAAGACAAAATAAAAAATCTCACAGTGTGGTTGGTTTCTTCCTCTTCCCAGTTGTTTTGTTTCCTTGGTCATTCACATCCTCATCTTCTTCTTCCATCTCTTCATCCACTGCAGCGCTCTCCACTTCGACACCGTTGTCGTCAGACCCTTCGTGGTTCTCTGCCGTCTCTGCAGGACTGTCAGACAGAATGTTCTGGTACATCTGAGACTCTCCGTCAGCACAGTGAAACTCATTCCTGGAGAAAACAGAAGACATACACAAAAACAGTCAATGACATCTTAATTATTTATTCATTTTCTTTTTTTGGTTGCATTTGTAAAATTTACAATATTTAATGCCCCCTTGACTATACTATATGCCAGTCAAGAGGTGGGGTGATTCCATCCTGCCTGTCAGGGACATCCTCAGCTAAATGGAATACAACATCCCAGCAGAAAGAGATACTAACCCCCCCAAAAAAACAACAACAACAAACAAAAACAAAAAAACAACTTCCCCACATGGGATTCAAATCCATGTTTTCTTTGTGACATGGCAAGGAGCTCAACTTTTACACCGCAAATGACAGTCCCATGTTCTGCTTGTACAAAAGCAGAATGTTTTAGGAGTTTGAAGAGAAATGTCCCTCTACAAGCAGTGTAAGTTCTTTCAAAAAGTTCCTGAACAGCGCAGGAGGACTAGTAAGTAACATCTCATGTATGTCTAACATTGTATCGCAAGTCTGCCTACAGTGATGATAAGGTTGGTATTTTTTAAAAATTCTTCTTCTTTTTGCACAAGCAAAAGTTGGACAGTAATTATTTTTCTCTTGTTAAGAAAATCTTGAGTGTGAAACTGATATACAGTACAAAACTACCCACCTGAGAAATGTGAGGTACAGAGTACAGAGCTCATCAGACCTCAACACACATTTGTCAGGAAACTTTTTCATACAACGCCACAGTTGAACCCGAAAGTTTATAAAGTCTGGTTTCCGGGCGTCGGTCAAAACAGCTGACAGGTGGTCATCAAACAGACTCAACAAAGGCCCCTTATTTCTTTCTTGATCACTCTCAGAAGTAGGGGCGTCCAGAAGCAATTCCTTCTCTGAAAAAGTAATACAATTTTGCTTATTCAGAGAGAAATACAACTCCCACTATAAGCCTTTATTTTTTTAACATAAAAGTTTAACACTTTTAGTACCTTCGGCGACTTGGAGTCGCCAGTCCTTTGTATGCGCTCATTACCGCTGGCGACTTTAGTCTCTGCTCTCGCTCGACCATGCACACTAAACATAATTAAACAACGAACAGAGTCATCTCACTGAGTTAAATACCAAAAGACATCACTCTGTATGATAGCTGAATTGTTGATGAACCTCAGTGAATTTTTAAAATGTTTTTCTTGGGTTGCAAACGTTTTTTTTTTAACTTAAAAAATTCTAACATGGCTTCAGCATTCTAAACTGAACTCGTACTAATGAGCCTTCGGCAAGTTAAGAGTTAAATAAATATTGACATAAAAATAAATAAAGATTCAGCTTATGCCAAGCTACGCTGATCACTCTCTGAGTCTGAAGACTTGAAGAAAATGTTTGAGGGCAGAAAGAATGAACAATACAAGAGGTTTCGGGACAAAATGCGATACGTCAAAAAATAGAAAAACCTAAACAAGCTTATAATTATTTAACTGACCATTTGTATGCTACTGGAGAAAAGAAAAACAGAATCATAATAGTAAACAATTATAGGTTCTAGCACGTTTTGCGACCAAACATTTTAAAGTAGCAAAGACCGATAATCCAGCTAACAACCTGAATTCATTTTATCACAAAGCCATTCAAATTATTACAGGAAATTCAACACCAATCACTTAAACAGTAAAGAGATCTTTTTCGCAACATAATACATTTTCAAACATTAAGCAGAAAACACTCAACATTCACAGACAAAAACACAGGACCAACAAACCTGATTGGTTAGCGGCCAAGCGGAGTTGACCCAGCATGACCTCCCAGAATTGACCGACGTCAGCGCCGATGGCATGGGAAGAGATGATCTCAGCCAGTGGCTCCCACAGCAGCTTGAAGTTCCAGTGTTGGTTCCCCAGGAGGAACAACAGAGGGGCCTGACAGCACAAACAAGAATAGACAGTTTTGAGTTTGAGGAAAGAGAAGCACATCAGCACAATAATGGTCATTTTACAGCAGGGAAAAAAAAGAAGACGGACAAAAACAAGTGAGGTCAAGATGCACAAATTTGGTTTATTTTGAGTGAAGAGAAGCACATTGACACAACGGTCATTTTGTACTGGGAAAAAGCTAAACAGACGGGAATAATACAGGGAAAGCAAAAAAGCAGGAACAACCAGTTCTATTTTAACGAGTAAAAAAAAACAACAACAAAAAAACCCACCCTGACACAGTAATAGTCATTACGTGTAAAAAAAAAAAAAAAAAGTTAAGATAGAAACAACAAGGGGAAAAAAAAAGTAGAACCTACAGTGATACCCTTCTACTACCTGCAATAAAGTTGGTCAGTCTAATTGGCATACCATGTCTAAAGGCCACTTAAGTCAGTTGCCATGGACATTGGTAATACACTACATGGCAAAGAAAACATTGCTTTATCATGGACTGATTTAAAACATCAGCATTTCCATAAATATTTGTAAGTGTGAATTTCTTGACACCCACATCGACACAATGTAGATCATTTTAGAGGCAGGATACTTTGATCCAACCTGTTGAGGCCAGCTCTTGCAGAATAGGATTCAACATCATTGCAGAAAGACAAGACAGACATACGCAAAAAAATAACTTCTTAGCATATGAATTGAAACTCATGTCTTCTGTGCGTAACAGCAAAACACCTTACCATTACATCTTAGACAATGATGTCAAATTTATGAAATTCAGTCTATACCACGAAAAACACACAGCAAATAAAACTCTCCTATTTCAGGTACAGATTTTTATGAGTATTTCCGAAATATGCATTCAGAAAAATTTTCAAGAAATGAGCTACACGATTAGAGCATGACAATGCTGAAGTGATATACAATTCTGTCTATATGAAGCAGTGTTTTCACCTTTGTGAAGGGACCTTCGGGCAGACACTTGAGGACCATCCCGTGCTCCAGCCTGCGTAGATAGATCAGTTTCTCTCGATAGTTGTGGACGGTCGGCACCATTTTCTCTGCAGTCCACAGAGTGGTGAAGACATTCTCCCGTTTCACATCCTGTGACACAATAGCATAGTTGTCCTTAACAAGTATATATCAAACAAATTGATGAAACAAATAAAATGCATAGCCACTTTTACCCATCATGATCCCCATCACAAAATTTGGTTTACAATGTCAAACATGCATGAATTTTAATACATATACAAACATACAAAAATACAACCATATAATAATTTACCAACATAACGTAATGCACAATATCTGACAAGAAACACTTCTACAAGAATGATACATGCTTCTCACAAAAACTTTGCTCTGGATTGAACAAACACATTAATGTGCAACAATGCACTGATAAATCAAATTCATATTGAATTGTGCTACATAAACCCCCCAAAATGTCAGCAAACCTCGAACGACAAATTGGTAGTAAATGTTTTATAATCCCTTCAATGCATGTTAATCATTTAGTAGGCTGGCTGCTTCAACACAGCTTATCAGAACCCAATGCAAATAGAGTTGGATACAGCATTTCATTTCTTCTCCATTTGTGAATCAAGACTCACACAAAATTGCATGCCTGCCAACTTTTGAAAATGCAAAATGGGGAAAATGTATGTGTGCCAGGTCATATTCCTGTATTTATGATCTCCGTATTTATGGCCAACGAGGCAACACAGAGTCAGGATCCAGTAAATGTAGTGCCCAAATTCGGTTGCCAGGTTTACATGAGCATAGTAAGTAGCCGAACCGCCAAACAGTAAAGGACGCACAGCTAATCTGGATACTTTTGTAACACACGAGTTCCGATACCGTCGATTACATTCGTCCTTTTCGCGCAAATAATTGTAAAAATATTATAATATAGCATGGCTCTGAAATCAGGAAATCAAGACTTATCAGGGAAGGTTGGCAGACCTGGTCTTGACACAGAAGACGTGACATGTAGCATGACACACTGCAGAACAAACAACCAATGACCATATGGCACTTACATCGTTATAATCAGGCAGCTCAACAGGAAACAACGAAAGCAAGTGGCAGGATAAAAGTCTCACCTAGATAGGAGAGATTTAAAAAAAAGAAAAGATTTTTAAAAACTGGTGAAAAATCAGACTTCAATTAAAGAGTTACGTCAACATTCAAATATACAGTTTCAATATATTCAGAAAAACACATGTTAAAGTCTACAATTTTTAAAAAACTCCACAGTAAAACTTTTCTCATTCTCCTTCATTTTCATCTTCAATTCAAATATATATGATTTTTAAAAATCTCTCCACTATTGCTGAGATCCAAACTGCTCAAAACTTTCCAATAAAATAGAATTTAATTATCCTAATGTTTGTTTTCTTGTACCTATGAATGCTCCCAATGTTATTGAATTTTTTTTGAGACTTCAGATACAACTGCTCTTTGTTTTCTCACAAAGATCCAGCTTTAGCAGTTAATTCGAGGAGAGAGAGAGAGAGAGAAAAAGAGAGAGAGAAAGAGAGAAAGAGAGAGAGAGAGAGAGAGAATGAGAGAGAATTAGAGAGAGAGAGAGTGAGTGAGAGTGTGAGAGGGAGAGAGATAGAGATTACGACACTTGTATAGACGTCCACTGACAGTATGCGAGGGAGATACAAGGTTCTGCTCCAGTAACTTGTACACGTCCACCAGTTGCTGGGAGGTCAGCTGGACAGAGGAGCTGGGCTGGGAGAAGAACAAGTCTGCTGTCTGCAGCAGTGTGGGGCTGGAGGGATCACATCTGGGAAAAGAACAGTACTTCATGAATGCTGAAATCTGGGAAGGGGGTTCCACTTGCATGGGAGGCATGTACCAAAGGTATGTAAAATGGTCTCTAGAACTGAAAACAACACTCATATTGTCAATTTTTCACTCTCATTTTGGCTTCATTCATTTTCTATTTACAGGTTGTCAGCCATTTTGGTTTTGTTGCCATGGCAACAAGACATGTCTGCAGGTAATATATTATAACCAATACTGCTGATGTCGTTAAAAGCACACATACACACACACAAATATATGCAAAATATAAGTATTAGTGAGTCACAAACATTATTGAAAAGCGTGAGAAATTTGTATATCTGTGGGACAATTATTGAAGAAAAAAAAAATGGTATAGCAGAAAAGTGCATTTTCAAATGGCCATATTCTATGAAATTCAAATATCTGAAATAATATAATTATAGTTATATGCATTCAGCAAAGACACACAGTAAGTATATCTGACAAGCCAAGAGCATGGGATGGACATACAACACTGCAGCCTGTGAAGTGCACAATACTATTATTCAAATCTTCAATCTAGACAAAATTTCAGGTCCGCATTTTCAGCTCATCAAACGAATGCAACATGGGCATTTTCTAAACATGTAACTTCATACTGGAAACATTCAAAAGTCCACAGTCTGTTCAATGGACATCTGAACTGTGCAAAAACTCATTTTCTGCACACGAATAAAACTCAAAGAAACAGCTAATCTTACACACCCGAGCACATCCATGATCTCGTCACAGGTGACAGGGATGGGTTCCTCTGTCCCTTCCTGAATCATCAACATGCTGCGGACAAGCTGATTCACAACAATAGCCAGACGCTGCCCTGCAACAAGCAAATTATATTTTTAAAACTAGAACAGAAATAGATACAACATACATTGATCCCTCTGGGTAAATTTGATTTACAAGTAACAATGGCATACAAAAACACATTCATACACAATAATTCATCAATATACTATATGAATATGTATTCTACACCCCCATCAATTATTTAGAAGGTGGACTGTTTTTAACAATACTTATCAGAGCCAAATTAGGTTAAGTGTAATATAGCACCCCAGCAGAAAGACAAACTTCCCGGGGCGGGGGGGGAAACTGAACTCATGGCTTTGCTATGCAATGATTTAGAACCCAACCGTAACACCGCAGGTGCCAGCAGTCAGCCCCTTCTCAGTTTTAGAAAGAGTTTCACTGATCTTGTAACAATTGAGTCAAATAAGTGCCCAAGAATAGAGTTATTACAAAACAGTAACATATAAACAAAGGAAGGAAGAGAGAGAAGACAGATGTTTGACAGGAAAGAAGGAGCAAACCAGCAGCTTCTGTAACACTGAACAAATCATTTTTAAAATCAACATAAGATGAGCTTGCTTACTGTCTTCAGAATGTTCACAAGATTTCAGTTTCCCCACCACTCTTGACCAGACGGCACCAACTTTCCCCAAACTGTCCGGGATGCTGAAACACAAAAAAGATTGATGAATTACTCAAGGGAAAAGGGCCAAAGACATCAATCTAGAAGATACATGACCATGGGGGGAAGAACGACTGGAATTTTTTTTGGTAAAAAAACAAACCAGCAAAGCTGGGCAGAAGAACCCCCCCCCCCCCTCCCCCTCTAAAAAGTAAACTATATTTTCCCCTTCTGATTGGTTTACATTTCATGGGTTATGACATGAAATCCCTTCTTTATCTAAGCAAATAAGCTGAGCTTCTGAGTGTGCAACAACGTAGTCCCCTTCAACTGAAATCAGCAGGACCAAAAGATTTTTTCAGTTTAGCTGTTTTTCAAAAGAAGAACACCCCCCCCCCCAAAGTGATTTTAATTTCATTTGACTAACTGCTATTTTATGATTTAACATGTTGGGTTTCAGTGGACCCTCTGTACAATGTACAGCAGAAATAAAACTTTCCTACCTTAGATGTGGAGCACAAACAACAGCACCCCAGAGAAGAGAGAGCTCGTTGGGAGACCAGGGGTCAGAGTTCTCCAGCGTAGAGGCCAGTGTATCCGCAACAAACTTGCAGAAACAATTTTCCTTGCTTGACCTGACAGACAACAACAACAAAAAAATCCAAATAATCTTGAATTTACGTCTTCTCGGCTCAGCTCCAAAGCTTCTAAAGCCTTCACATGTTTGAATAAAATAACAATATATGATATTTATAGAGTAATAAATAACAATAGCAATAAAGAACACAGGCTCTAATGGCTTTACAAATACAACAGCAACACATGAAGAGTACACTGTGTTCTGATTAAAATACTACAAATATAACCCATTAATCAAAAAACAGAAATGACTCTAGCTGACATTTGAATGAATAAAATTTTTTATCTGAGCAAAGCATTCCAAGTCTTGGAGCCATGATACGTTTCAAACACCAATTGCACAGTTCTCAACAAACTGGTGACTGAATTTTATCAGCGTGTTTATAAAATCAGAACCTTTAGAGATAGAGAGAAATGTAAACCATTATTCATATCCTTATCATGAGGATATTTAAGAATTTGATGAAGTATAGATGTATATTATATATATTTATGCTATAGCAGTGAAAATATTCAGTTCTGAGGCTTAATTCGTTTTGACACTTTCTAAAAAAATGTTTTCAGCTGTCTACACAATTTTTAGCTTAAGTAGCAGCTCCCCAGATCTCATACACATATCCGCGAGCTGTTAAAATGTACCGAGCTCAAAATTTTAAATTGTTTAAAAATTGTAGTTTTTTAATCTGTGATGCATGTACTCAAAAAATATTTTATCGGAATTCAAATTCTAAATGTTGAAAAATGAAAAAAGTATACAGAATAGGTACAGTTGAACAAAATAATAAAACACGTTTTTTCCCCCTTTTCTTCTAAAACATTTTGCTCTCTCGGTTTACTAAATTCAACAGGCCGGCTATAAACTCAGTCATCCTAACCTCATGTAAGTAATCTGATCCAAGGGGTAACGTTTGAGCATGTGGAGATCCCCGCCGGTCACCGGAGACCCAGTCTTGACCATCACCAGTTCCCCAATGAAGGCCAGCACGTCCTGTTGTTGCTCTGGGCTCCTCATGGGCAGCTCAAAGTGAATCCTGTTCATGCAGCCTGGCAGTATGTCCTACAGGAACACACAAGATTGTCAAAGGTTTAAGATAAGATTTATTTACTAGATAGAAGGGTGGATAGATAGAATAGATTGATAGACAGACAGACAGATTGATAGATCCTCCATAAAATTGAAAGTGTGTTTTCACCAGCTTCTGCGACACAAAATACACATTCATGGAATCATATCACATTCACCCTCACTTTTCCCCTTGTAACTCAAAAATTTACTCCTTCTCTCATATAAATTTTTATACATATTCATATATACCCCTTTCTCGTATTAATTTTTATTCATATGTATGCATAATACTATGTTTGCTGTACACACATGTTCATTAATCTTTAAGGTGTGATATTTATATTAATGTAATGCGCATTGAGCATTTTTTAGAAAATGGAAATGTGAAGCATAAATGCTATTTATTATTATTATTATTCTCTCACGACTAAGACATAACATGGCAATTCTGTGGACAAACAACACATACATGAAACGAGATGCCAGAATGAATGGCATCCTCATGTGAAAATTACAAAGTTACGATGCCCCCTAATTGGCACAATTTAGATCACTTTGGCAGAAAGGGAGGACTTCTGCTTCAATCTTGCTACTTGGGGTCAGTCTGGGCTGAGTGGGAACTAGCATCCCTAGAGACAGACGGAGGTAATCGATAATATAACTTCCCCAAGCCAGAATTGAACTGGCGTCTAAAGAGTGCTATGATGAAGTGCCCAACTATTACACAGGTGGGTGGTTGGCAGGTGCTCTGGTATGGTTTGCTCCTTCTTTCCTATCAAACATGTATTGTCCTCATCTCCCCTCCTTCTTTTTTGTGTTTGTTACTCTCTTGTAACACCTCCAATCTTCGGCACTTATATGACCTAATTGTGTTGCAAGTGCAGTAAAACTATTACCAAAACTAAATTATCACACCACAAAAACCAAAAACCTCTTCTTTACTAAAGAATAAGAATTCCGGCTCGAGGTCCATAATGTATAAAACAAAACAAACTTCCCCCCCGATTCTTTCCTTTTGGGCGTAACACCTAAGTGACCATCCATGAGTATACCCGTCTTCTGGCATAACACCTAAGTGACCATCCATGAGTATACCCGTCTTCTGGCATAACACCTAAGTGACCATCCATGAGTATACCCGTCTTCTGGCAATGTTCCTAGCAGGCTGACGCCGAAAATAATACTTGTTTTGAAGACTGCTCTAAAAAAACCAAAAAACTGTCCTACTTTTTGCATCTAATCCAAAATTCTGCCAAACAAAAGTAGAAACATTCTATGGTTAGTTTGCGAGTGCACATAAAGGTAAGAATATAAAATTCCTCCAGTCTCAGTAATAGGTACACTTTTTCTCAGAAAAATGTAGGCGACCATCATGGTCTAAACTGGTCTACCAGCCACAGGACCATCACCATCAGCCTTTCCCACCCTGTGCTGGAATCTAGGCCACCAAACAAGAGCTCTCCAAGTACTTCTGTCCTAGGCCATAGTCCCAACCTCTGTCCAGCTGTATACCGTCTCCTTTAGGTTGGAACCTAAGTCCTTCCTCAAAAATTTTTTTAGACCTTTATTTCTTTCTCTTTCCCTGTGGGTTCCATCTTTAGGGTTGGTGTGTAATGTGTGTTTTCGTTTCTTCTAAAGGTGTGTCCAATCTCCTTCAGTATTCTTTTTCTGATTTCTGTACCTTTTTTCTGTTGATCTGTCTGCTCCCATCAACCACAGAATGGCTGGTGATCATCATTATCACTGCCTTTCTCACCCTGGATCAGGAATGGGCCACAAACAACCACTTTCCACCTTTCCCTATCCTGAGCTAGCTCCTTGATGTTATTCCATGTCTTCTCACTTTTCTGTACTTTTCGCAAACTAACCATAGAATGTTTCTACTTTTGTTTGGCAGAATTTTGGATTAAATGCAAAAAGTAGGACAGTGACTCTTCTCCGGGTCCCATGTGGTCTTCCTCTTCATCTTTGACCCATGACTGGTCACTAAAGTGTGAAATATCTACTTTTGCATTACCTTCTCAAAGAAGGGCCTTTCCAGTGTGGCCCTGACAAATTCTTTGAGACTGGAGAAGGTGAAGGCATCAGAGAAAACAGCAGAGGTTAGTTTGACGATCATGTCTGGGGCCAGCCGGTCATCGCAAGACGTGAACAGGTTAGAGACGGTGTCCAGCAGGTCCTGACCAACGCTGTCTGGACGGGGAACTGACCGCAGAATCACCAGCAACACCTGGAGGAAAATGCCGCACACACACACAAAGAAAGAATGAGATAAACATAGACAGGGTATTTTAGCTGTAAATTGACTGTATTTCAAAGGTTCATCGAAAGAGCATTTAAGTGGATGTTGACCGAGCCTTTTGGATGTACATCAACAGAGCAAATTTCTTGTAATAAAGCTATGAGAAAAGATATTAAAACCAACAGCTACCAGGGGCCAGAAATACTATAGCAAGTCAGGAAAACTGTTATTTTTGTATCAACATCAGATCAGAATGACATGGGGAAAAAGTAGACCCCCCCCCCCCCCCCCCAAGAATTAGAAAAACGTAGAAAAGCGAGAGGAATAGAACTGCCCCCACACGTAGAGGAATGAGAGAGATACAAAATAGTTCATCAACTTAAGTACTCTAAAGAGGAGTGGAGTGAGAAAAAAAAAAAGAGTGCTTAGACCTGCATGTGAGCCTCAACCAGATTGTCTGAAAATTTTGCGCACTCCCCCTAACTTATGACTTATATAAGAGCTTTTAAATTGTGGGTGTCATAAAAGAAAGGGCTTCCGAGCAACGAGCGACCACCCCAACAAACACAAATAAAGAACATGCAACAGTCCTCATGTAAAAAGGCCAGCCTAAGTAAAAAAAAAAAAAAAACCCAACAAAAAACGAGCACACTCCAAAACAAACAAGGAGCATAATATGGCCTAGATCTACATTGCTGTAAAAAAGGGTTTGATACAATAATACAATAGAATTGGAATATGAATCCTCCATATAGTATAGATCTAGATCTTGTAGAACAAGTGAACAGGAATACGGTGAGAAATCTGCATCCGATTCCGAACAGAGGAACTCAGCTGAGTCTAGATCTAGATATCTAATAATTCACGCACCTGATGAAATTCGTTTTACCAACATTAATATTACAGCACAACCTATAATAGGGTTTGACACAATAGAATTCGAATATGAATTCTCCATTGAGGTCTATAATGATATATAAATCAAGATCTAGATTAGATCTACAAGTGAGTCGGACTTGAATGAACATACATGATCTGAACCATCAGTAAACAAACGAAATTCAAAATGGCCGCCCTGGAGCACGAAACTGAAAGTAGATAATTTTGGTCGTCGTCCTTTTTCGTATTCGTATTTCTACTCAGGATGTCGGAACCGCCGACGTCGGCACGAAAACGAAAGTGCAGACAAAGCCGACGGGAAAAAAAGGGGGCGCTGGCAGTCGGCCAGGCCTCGCACATTGACTAATGCAGGTGGGCCTAGCGATAGCATCGGCCGGCTTGCGGCTCGGGTCGCGATTGTCGGCAAACATGCAGGTGTAAGTACTGTCTCTCAAAGTGTAGCAGATTGAGAGAAAAAGAAAAGTCTAAGAAAGTGCAGCAGAGGGAAAGAAAAAGAAATGTCTCCCACCTTGGCCACCTGCTCGGGATGACCCACAATGCTCCCACCGTCGTGGGACAGCCACACAGAGGTCAGCCTTAGGAGACGGCACAGATGTTGAACATTGGACGGGACTTTGTGCTCTGCCTGGTCAGCAGTCAACACTTCGTTGTCATTCTTTAGGCATGACGAGTGGACGGTGGACAGAGCATCCTGAGAAGAAACAATGAAAAGTGAAATTTGAGTTTTTAAATTTTGATATGAGTTTAGGGCATTTACAACACAATTAGGCCATATAAGAGCCGAAAGATTAAAGTTGTTACTAGAGAGTGACATTAAAAAATAAAAGAGGCCATATAAGGACGATAGATGCTTGATAGAGGAAAAAAGGAGCAAAGCACACCAGAACACTAACAAACCACCCTTGGAGTTGGAGTTAAGAGAAGCACATTTATACAGTAACAGTCGCATAGTGCAAGGAATAAGTAAGACAGACAGAAACAATGGCAGGAAAGAAAAGAAGTAGGAGACACCAGTGCCCCCCCCCCCCCCCCCAAAGTAAATGGTTGATGACATTTTCCAAAGCAAATATCTTTCAAAGCCACCCTGTAAAAGCTAAAATGTTCTATAAAAAACAACAATGTGCTAGAGTGGAATCTTTTGACTCGTGGTCAGTGAAAAGCTACCTGTAGGGTCCATCACAAACATGCTCACCTCCACAGAGCTACAAATGTACTGGACATGGGGAAAAAAGTAGAACGTCAACAATGCTGTTTAAAACTTGTGCTCAAGATTATATCATCTTACCGGAATCCAGATAAATTATAATGCAAAGATTTTCCTTTTTTATACTTTCTGAAAAGCTCCACAAAAATCGAAAAAAAATAAATAAAGGAAAAACTAAAACCAACAACTACATTATCCAGTAATTCAAATAATTAATATTCTAATGCTCACTCCAAGAAGACAGCAAGACCTCATGTCTGGCGGAGTTCATCACTCACCATAAGCATGTCCCACATGCGTCCACTGTGCTCTCTACTGGTGTGGTCAGCACACTTTTGCATGACCACACTGACTGCCTCCTCCACCGCCACCAGGGGAAGCCCGTTTTTCTTCCCAGATGCATCCACGGATCCAAGTTTGTTCAGCATCAAAGGGAATATCTACATGCATGAAGGCAGAGATATAAGAGAGAGGAAATTACTTTTTCATTCCACTGTCATTACAGCTAGAATTCCAGACCCAAATAAATCTCTAAAGTACTTGGAAAATACAAATCCCACCTCTCCCCAAAAGTCCCATTTAAGAGCAGCAACTCCCTAAAACCCAAACATGAAAACATTTTGTCCCATTCAAACTATGAAACTGAAACTGTACGTAATAGTAAAATCCTTACTTCTTTCTCGAGTAATAAATGGAACAGATATTCCATCAATATACAATCCAGGGGGTTAATCCAACTCTGTCTCCACGTAAAGTACACAACATTACCTCATCACAGACGCTGTGGAAATGGAACTTGACGCCTTTCATCATCTCAAACAGAAGGAAACCCACGCCCTCGGTCAGCTGAAAAATGCAAACATACACACATTTTTACTGGCAATTTTCTTTAAAATCTTAAACAAATCATGTACAGGTAAATCCTAGCAGTCAAACAGACCAAGGACTAATGGGTCAAGAAAGAAACAAACAAGAATGAATCTAGATTTCCTCACTGCCTTTAGACAACTTGGAAAATGGTTGCATGTCAAGTTGAAAGCTGCCATCTTCAAGGCTCCAAAGCAAAAAAGGATGAGAAACAGCTTTCTTTCAAGGCCCCGATGTAAGAATAAAAAATTGATTCCTAATATTTGCCCCCAAGTAAAGATGTCCTTTTTAACATATATTTTGTCAGCGTAATAAAACAAAGATAGTCCAAGCAAGAAAGGAGCCAGAGGTCTTTCATTTCACTACAACAAATAGGAAGATGGCAGCAATTCTACCTTAAGTTGAACAAACAAAAACAGCCGTCTTCCGTACTCCACATCCAGAAAGATGTCCTGGGTCATTTTAGTAGAGTGAGAAAAAAAAGCAACTGCTATCTAAAATACCACTGCCTCCTTCTTGCGTAAAGATTTTTTTTCTAGATGTGTGAGGCAATGTAGCAGGTGTAGTCAAGTCTTTAATTTCTAAAAGTATTTCGCCTCATGTGAGCTAAATACAACCAGAATTATATTTTCAGGACCCAAAACTGAATACCTGTGCACAACAATCATACTCATAAATCAAGTTGCACAATATCATACAAGAAACTTAAGATAGTCTGGTCCAGTCCTCCAATGTCAAGATTTATTGGACCAGTCGGTCAACTGACCCCCAATATACACCACAGCAAAAAAAAGAAGAAAAAAAAAGAATTTTAAAAAAAGTTTTAGTAAAGTTTTACGGCCCTCGCAACTGTATACGGTCATATGAACGCCAAGGGGTGGATGTCAACAGAGAAGTCCAAACGGGGAATAAGGCCTCAACAGCACAACGTCCGCTTCAACTATCAAGGAACTCCAGAAATAGCAGTTCACAAGAGAGTGACAAACATACAATAGAAGTAGAGGAAAACTGACGATAGTAAGGATGAGGAAAGAAAAAGCAGCAGTTCCCTCTATGATATTTCGGCACAGTATGCATGACATTGATAAATCAGCCCATTTACAATTCTACTGTGCTTAAGAACATGTTAATATCCCCCCTTTGGGAATAGCCTAAAGTCACTTCAGTAAGTAGCACTGCCCTGGGGGTGGGAGGGCGCAAAATAACGAAAAGATGGGGTAGTATTCTCACCTCTGGGTTTTTCTTGAGGGATTTGAACAGAAAATTCAGCAAGGCATTTCGCTTTTTTACCTGCAAAACAGATGAAATATTAATAAAATAAAGAGAAAAAGGAGAAAAAAGCAAAATTATAAACCTCCTCACACCAGACAACGTTTACCTGGCAACAACAATGAGCTGAAGCCTATGGGAGTTCAAGGAAAATAACCATGAACATTACAACCAAGAAAAAATATATCAACACCGAAAAGTACCAGCAAGAAATCTTAGATCATCCAGCGATGAAACAATATATAACTCAAACCATAAATGAACTAGAAATTTTGTGGACAGCTTTCCTTTTGACATTATGGTCCCCTGATGTACAATAATTAACCCAGATATATTATAAAATATTAGAGACTCTAGTTCCATGAAAATGTTAAAAAAGCAGTTTAAGTCACACATTTATGCTGAGGTATATTTCTAGTTTCCTTACTGTCTTGATCAATATACTACACATAAAACTGAGAGAGAAAGAGAGAGAATGATTATTAGTACGACTGTTACCCTTTACTGCTTTAAAATTTGTCACAAAACGCGCTGTAGGAAGTAATAATACATTTTTACATTTCCAGTCTACAATATCTTTCCCCCAAAAATCATGTCCTTACCTTTCTCAGGAGATATGCACAACTTTCTGCAGCAAATACTCGAACATATTCCTTCTGGGATGTCAATAGATTTGAGAAATATCTGAGAAAGTTGAAATAAGAGAGAAACAAAAAGGAAAGCAGATGTCAAACCACAATTTTTTTTCCAAAGAATAGAAAAAACCCAACCCCAATAAAATGCTCATCTGAATGACACCCCACAAAGAACAAACCACAATCACAAGAACAACAATAC